TCCGTGAACCTTCTTCTGACCTGTCCGACTCCCAACTCCAATGCACGCCCCTCTCAAACCCCTGCGGCCTCAGTGTTGATTAACGCCGATTAATCATTTACGTAACAGGACCTCCTTACATTACCAGCAAAAACGTGCAGATATAGTATCCCTGTATCGTCACTGCTCATTTGTTATCATTCGTGAATGCAGTAATTCCGGGTACAACTGATAATGACTCGGGTGGCACCAGTCGACTCGGAACCTTCCACTGCACTCGCGTGTTCCAAGACATTCGAGCAACTCATTACCACCTCAATAGCAATCCATTCGCGCAGTCACGATAACTCTGCAGTTATTTCACCCTGACTGTTGGAACAAGTGCTCGCTGGGCAACACTCCCGACTGTCTCTCAAATGTGTTGTTTTAAAAACTGCTGCTTACCAGCAAGATTCCAGCGAGGGGCCACAAGAGACGAAGAAATGATAGTGGCTGATCTATTCCAGTAAACTTGTTACATTTAATCGAGATGCCATATATGACATTGCCTCCGTCGCCGTCGTCAGCGTCAACACTGAGCACTTACTGAGGGCTGAGCATCACACGTCATATTGGTTGGAAGTCCGAGTCATAGTAGGTCACACCATGTGATTTTTGACATCATGACGGAATTGCATTTCTGGGGCCGTTTTCAGGTTGGACGGATGGAACTTGGTAGGAGCTTCCGGGAGCCTTATATCGATAGTGCATTCATATAAGAGGAAATGGAAAGCCACCCTTCCAGAAAACCATGGTGCCTTGTCGTTTGTCGATTCCTTATACGACATAGTACGAGCCTTTCCGGTATCACGTCCCGGACAAGTAGCAGTCTGTAGTAATCTGATTGTAGGATGAGTTAATGGCAGGTCTTTTGGTCGTTGACCTCGAAAGATGTCCGTGTAGACGGAGCAGATTTCGTACAAATATCAATGACTGGCGTGTCCGTGAGCAACTCGTTACATCCATGAATTGATTCGAATACCTAAACAGCGTTCGACCAAGTTTTGGCATCGTTTGATCCGCAGAAAGAACCGAGATATCTCGGGATCCCCTATACCTCTCGAATAGTAGCAAGGGGGGATATATTGTCGTAAACATTATCGGGCGTGGGTCCAACTTGGTAGTCTTGGGGCCGTAATATGTATGACAAGAACCGGTTCATCCTATAACCGACTAAAAGCCAGTTCCAGCGTGGACTAGCAGCTTCTCCTGAATGGTGCAACCGGATCCAGATGGACATCGAGATTGGAACGTCCTAATGTTCCGAAAGTTTTTATGCTCCTTGCTCAGGTGTTATCTTCGGCGTCCGGGTCCGGCGGCGTTCAGTCGCAGACATGTGTATAGGTCTATTCACGACATGAGCATCGATAAGCGGACACATTCTATCGGAAGTGAAGAACACAGTGATTGACCAACCTGAGGATGAGGACGGGTCCGGATGAGGCACGGGCGGCATCAAAACGGCTAAGCAGGCAGTGCCAGCAGTCAAACTTTTCTCCCTTCGTAATGATATCAAGCATCAATCACGACATTTAAGAAGACAGCCTAACCGGGACACATCGAAAAGATTTGAATTTGATGATCACAGCCAATCGATATGCAGAGAAAAGTGACACACCGATAGAACCTCGAGTTCTGATGATGATTTCTGATGCCATGCACCGCTCACACAACTGACGTAGCACTGGGATGCCATCACGCCAAACGGTTGGTATCAGGCACTCTCTTCAACCGTGAAAGTTCAAACATGGACAGCGCAGGCTCAGCAATCCGTGTCATGGTCGATCTCCAGGAGCTACCGTGGCAGATAAGAGGACCGACAACTCCGTGGAAGATCTACTCTGTAATGCGACCCGGTGGCGCATTGTGACTTCAGTGGCGGAAAAGCTGAGTGAATACCAACTGAATGATTTGCGGGGGCCTTATCAGGGAATAAGAGGGAGTATCAAGATTCAAGGGAGTATTATTGCCATGGAAAGAGACCGGACTTCCCAAGTAACGGGTGCACAAGCGTAAAAGGTGTTTTGAATGACCCCTACAAGGAGTTATGGAAGCTTAAGGACGAGCCTCTGACCGGTTATGATTTCTAAAAAAAATTCTGTACCCGGTTCTTACTCACCAAGTGACCACGGCGTGAACTGACATGTGGATTAATTCGCTGATCGGTACTTCAGGCCACCCGCAAAATTGGGACGTGCTAGTATATATGGATGGATGCTTCTGGATGCCAAAACATCCAAGAAGATGGCATCATGGGCCGCGGAAGATAAGCGCTTCCGTTAGATCCAGACTCTTGCCGAGAGGTAAGTCGACACTTAGCAGTTCGAGCAAATCGTAAAAACTTCCACCCATTTCCCAGGCCCCACGACTCCGGCTATATCAATAGCCATCCCGAATACCTCAAAACTTCAGTTGAGTTGCTTCGGATAAAAAGCAGCAGAAACTTTCATGAGATGCACTAATTATTAACCTCACCCCATCCCCAAAACGACTTGGCAGGATGTACCACAAGTCCATGTTCCCCGACCTCCCTGTTGTGCCAGAGACCAATGTTCATCACTTGCTCTTTAACCGACCAGAGCAGAAATCCTGGCCAGATTACACGTTGTACGTGAATGCAACCACTGGTAAACGGTGGTCTTTCCGTCAATTCGTTGAGCGTGTACGCGATGGGGCTACCGCTCTCGGAGCTGACGTCGACCAAGGTGGCCTTGGTATCTCTCTCGGAAATGGTGAGATCGTCGGGATCTTAAGTGAAAACTGCCTGGTATGCCTCTTTCTCCGTTACCAATGTATTATCAATCTATATGCGCAGACTCAGGACTACATTGCATTATTGCACTCTCTGATGGCAATTACAGTGCCTTTCGCGATGATTTCTGGGTATTCGACTCCTTTCGAATTCAAACATGCTGTGTCACTGTCGCGGGCGACCCGGATCTTCGTCAGCCCCTCGTTACTACCCCTCGCTTTGACCTCGGGTCTGCCAGATGATCGGATTTACGTGCTGGAAGGTGACATTGAAGGTCGCTTGAGCTATGACGACCTTGTCAACCGCACTCGACGCAATCGGATACCCCGCGTGCCTGTCAAGCATGCCGCGCGAGACACTTTGGCATACCTGGTTTTCTCAAGCGGAACAAGTGGCCTTCCCAAAGGTATGCGTGCTGCATTGGTTTTTATATTTGAAAATCGACCCTGATCACTTCTCCGTTCAACAGCGGTCATGATATCTCATGGGAACCTAACGAATTCATTGCTTCAGGTCAAGGTTGTAACAGAAGAAGTGAACAAATTCCAGAAAGTAATTTCTCCATTTCCTCTTATTGGGAAATATGCTTATTGGGCGAGCTAGCCACCTGTATGGAATGGCCCCAATGGCATGCAGGTTCTATTTAACGTTCTCCCGATACATCATACGTATGGCTTGCACATATCGTGTTTTCGGGTGTTCTTTTCGCCACTCACCGTCGTCTTGCTCCCGAAATGGGATGCCAAAGCCTTCCTCAATGCCATTCCGAAGTGAGTAAATTCCTCAACGCACATCTACATGATAGCTCATTCGTTTCAGGTATCGCGCTACCACCTTATACCTTGTTCCTTCCTTGGTCCATCAACTCGTACATCGCCCTGAGTTCAAGGCCGCTGACTTGAGCACCGTCCAAGTTGTGAATTGCGGAGCTGCCTATTTGCCTACGTCGCTTTCAGAAGCACTGCTTTCTCGTTTTCCGAACCTCGAGCGGATAGGTGAAGGTGGGCTGCAAATTTTATTTTGGCTTTACACTTTGCTAATCTCTGATAGGGTATGGGATGTCTGAAAGCGTGAGTTCTGTTGCCTAATTAATCACTTTCTGTGGTAATGACATTTGGCTCCTGACTTTTCAGACAATATCTATTGCTAACAAACCCGTTCCCGGCCTGCTTGACGGGCGGGCGAAAAACAAGCCAGGCTCCACGGGCGTCTTGCTTCCTGGGATTGAGGTTAAAGTCATGCGTGAGGACGGAACCCTCGCCGGAGTGAACGAACCGGGAGAGCTACACGTTCGATCGGGATGTGTTGCGCTTGGATACAGTAATAATCCAAAAGCAACGAAGGAAACATTCGTCGATGGATGGCTTCGCACTGGTGATAGGATACGAATTGATGAAGACGGCGTTTTATTGTGAGTGTCTTGAAACACTGATGAAAACCCTTCTGATTGCGGCGCAGCTTCGAGGATAGAGCAAAGGTACGAGCTACTGAGGAAATCAACCGCTCTCATTTACCCACCCGAAATGGTCATAGGATACACTCAAGGTCTCAGGATTTCAGGTCTCTCCTGTGGAGATCGAAAACACGCTGCTGGTGCACCCAGATAAACTTATTATTGACGCATCAGTCGCGGGTGTGAGCGGTGGACGCACTATTGACGAACGGATACCCCGGGCGTGGGTCGTGTTGTCTGCTGAGGGTCGCAGATTGGGAGCTGCTGCAACAATAGCAAAGCTCGACGCGTGGGTGCGCGAATCGTTGAGTAAATATAAATGGCTCCGCGGAGGCATCGAAGTGGTCGATATGGTACGTTGCCGTTTTTATTTCAAAAGCGTTCATGTGTTCATGCAGACCATCAGATTCCAAAATCGCCCACGGGGAAGGTATTAAGGAGACAACTGGTAGACAAATATGAACGCGGGCAGAAGGCACAAGTCATGGCCAAACTATAGGCAGACAACATTTATTCCTTCACTATATCTAACGGGACTTGGGCTGCATGCCCCTATAACTCGCCTTCAAGTTGTTTTATCACATAGATCGCATCATTGGACGATATGGGCATGGCAGCGTGATGCAGGGTACACACGTGAATCTGATTGTTCACTAGTTACCGCGTAACTCCACTGCAATATTATTACCAAACTCAAACAGGCCTGCACGACGGTGGGGTAGAGAAATAAATAAATGACGAAATAAAATCGTAATTAAGTAAGGCCGGTAACTATCTCCCGGGCCGAGTCAGGAATCACCTGCTGATGCAGCGGAGTACTTGTTTGGTGGTGAGCGCATCAATATTACAACTCCGCTCGGATGCAACCCTCCAGCCCCAGAGTCTACGTGGAATAGCCCCGGAGGTGGCTTTGAGGTGGCTAGATCCCTGACTTTCGTGATGCGGCTACCATACACAGTTCCGAACATCTACCGTACAAATAAATGGCTAGGCCAATCATAGGTCTTTTTCTTATCCTCAAGAGGGAGTCGTGGCGTTGCTGAAGCTTCGATCAGTGGTCAAGTATGTACTACAAGTCACTCTTCCCTGACCCGCCAAAGGTCCCAGAATCAAACCTTCACCACTTTTGCTTCGACCGGCCTGAGCAGCAGGATTGGCCAGATTATACATTGTTCGTGAATGTGGCTACTGGCCAGCGGCGTTCATTTAGGGAGTTTGTCGAGCGTGTCCGTGATGGTGCTACTGCACTGGGTACTGATGTGATGCAAGGTGGCCTAGGTCTTCGTCCAGAGAATGAAGAGCTTGTAGGCATTCTGAGCGAGAACTGCCTAGTGTGTTACATTTTCCTGCACTGAGCTTATAAACCAAATAAGCTCGTTTTGTCAGAATTATATTGCGTTGGTGCATTCGCTGCTAGTTATCACAGTTCCATTTGCACTGTTCTCATCGTACTCTACGCCTTACGAGTTTGAACGAGTCAATTCGCTCGCACAGGCAACTAGGATTTTTACCAGTCCCTCATTGCTGCCACTCGCCTTAACCTCGGGTCTCCCTGAAGATAGGATCTACATCCTAGAAGGGGAATATAAAGGTTACACAAGTTATGACCAGCTCGTCTCCTCTGCTCGCAAGAATAACATTCCACGGCTGCCGGTCCGTTATGCTAGCAAGGATACTCTGGCCTGCCTGATCTTTTCCAGCGGGACGAGTGGTCCGCCCAAAGGCATGTATCTTTCTGTGGTTTTTATCGCAGAAGCATGGGTACATCATACGTAGCATTTCTGACTTCGTCATACAGCCCTGATGGTATCGCATGGGAATATCATCCATGCCGCCCTAGGAATAATGGTATACGGTATGGAATCGGTTAAAATAGAAGAGGTATGTATTTATCCGACGTTACTTTCTTGTTATCTCAACCCTTCACTAGCCAACGATATGGGACTCCCCTGATGGGCTTGAAGTTCGCCTCTGTGTCCTTCCTGTCTACCACTCGTACGGCCTCTACACGACCAGTTTTGTCAACTTCCTCAAACGCTATACGACAGTCATGTTACCGAAGTGGGACGTCAATTTATTTTTCGACAGTATTCCAAAGTAAGTGCAGTTCATAGCGGCTGTGCTACTAATATTTATGCTTGGGTCGTGACAGATACCGTATCACGACCATGAGCCTCGTCCCGTCACTTGTACACCAGGTCGTTCACCATCCTCGCTTCGAAACTGCCGATTTGAGCTCGATTAAAGGCATAGGCAGTGGCGCTGCATATCTCCCACCTCAGCTCGCCGCCCAGCTTTGCGCCCGCTTGCCAGGTGTGAAAAGAGTTTTCGAAGGTGCGTTCCCCACTTCCTTGTGGATCATTTTACTACCCACTTACACAGGTTATAGTTTGTCCGAATTCGTAAGTGATCATCCATTACTCATTACAAGCTTCAATTCCACTGTCTGGGGATAGATATCAGTGGCTATGAAACCCCTTCCCGGCATGCTCGATGGACGGGCAAAGAACAAACCTGGCTCCGCCGGAATTCTACTCTCTGGTGTCCAAGCTCGCATTCTCCGTCCTGATGGGTCTCTCGCAGGCCCAAACGAGGCAGGTGAACTCTATGTACGTGGGGCTGCCATGGTACTTGGATACAAGGGAAATATCAAGGCCACACGGGAGACATTTGTCGATGGGTGGCTGCGTACAGGCGACCAGATGCGGATTGATGAGGACGGAGTGCTTTTGTGAGTCAATTTGACAACGACCGGCACGCTCATTCCATATGACGCTAATATACCCTTTTTAGCTTTGAGGACCGCATCAAGGCAAGCTTGCACCCACTGCATGTCACTATCGGCGCTGTACTGAGCTGTCACAGGACACACTCAAAATTTCGGGGGTGCAAGTTTCCCCTGTTGAAATCGAGGACACGCTTCTGGCGCAGCCAGACAAGCTGATCGTCGATGTAACTGTCGCAGGCGTTTCAGGCGGGCGTACCTCAGACGAACACATTCCGCGAGCATGGATCGTGCTTTCCCCGGCAGGCGCGGCGCTTGGTGAGAAAGAGGTTATGGTACGGCTTGATGCATGGGTGCAGGGGCGGCTAAGTCGGTATAAGTGGTTGAGGGGGGGGATCGCGTGTGTGAAGACGGTGAGCGTTGTTTGCCTTTCTTTTCTTCTTCTTTTGGGTTGATTGAATGCTTTGGTAGATTCCAAAGTCGCCAACTGGAAAAGTGTTGAGGCGGTTGCTGGTGGATGAGTACGTAAAGGAAGGGAAGGCGAAGGCGAAACTGTGAAGGTACTTTTGTAGGATGACAAATTTCAAATAAAAGGACTAGTAGGTACTTTTACATAACTGCGGGCTGCGGCGTCCAACATCCATGTTTTGAATTTTTATATTTGGCCATGTGAAGATGAGTGTAATCATGTGCACTTGCACTTCGGATTGCAATTCATTAGCTTGAACGTGATTGATTTCGTCAAGTCGCCGGGTTGGTCGGCTCAGTTGTAACGCGTATCCGCCTTGCCTCACAATGTTTGGTCCACGCAGGACCAAGCTGAGTAAATCTGTTGACATCTTTGATGGCGGCGCTTGTAACCCGGACAACTTCTAACCACAAACGTACAAGTTCGGCTTCATCATGCCATCGTATAAAAAGCCAAAGCCAATTATGGGACCTTTAATATTCCCCGCCGCAGTACACCGCTGAAGGCTCGAGTATCCACATCAGCTGTCGAAAGATGTACCACAAGTCGCTTTTCCCTGACCTGCCAAAGGTCCCAGAATCTAATGTTCACCACTTGCTCCTGAACCGGCCTGACCAGCAGGAGTGGCCAGATTACACATTATTCGTGAATGCAGCTACTGGCCAGCGGCGTTCATTTAGGGAGTTTGTCGAGCGTGTCCGCGATGGCGCTACTGCACTGGGCACTGATGTGACGCAAGGTGGTTTGGGTCTTCGTCCAGAGAATGGAGATCTTGTAGGCGTTCTGATCGAGAACTGCCTAGTGCGTTGCGTCCTATTGTTCAGTCGAGACTGAATTGTAATATTTTCAGGACTATGCAACCTTGCTACATTCCCTACTGGCTATCACTGTCCCCTTTGCGTTGTTCTCATCCTCTTCAACGCCGCACGAGTTCAAACACGCCAATTCGCTCGCGCAGGCGACTAGGATCTTTACCAGTTCCTCGTTATTGCAACTCGCATTGACTTCGGGTCTCCCAGCAGATCGGATTCACCTCCTAGAAGGAGAAAACGTAGGCCACACAAGCTATGATCAGCTCATCTCTTCTGTTCGAAAGAATGGTATTCCACGTCTGCCAGTCCGTCATGCTACCAAGGACACTCTGGCCTACCTTATCTATTCCAGTGGAACAAGCGGTCCTCCTAAGGGTATGTGTCTCCTTTTGCCACTGGTCTCGTTTTCGAATCGCAGAAACATGAACACACCATCTGACTATATTGTACAGCTGTCATGGTATCCCATGGAAATATCACCGCTGTCACCCTCTCAACAATGGTAAACGGTATGGAAATGGCTAAAATCCAGGCTGTATGTCTTTCAGCGCTACTTTTGTGGTCTCCCTGACACCCCTACTAGCCATCAATATGGAACACCCCTGAAGGGGTACAAGTAACCTTCGCTGTCCTTCCGCTCTATCACTCTATCGGCCTTTACATGACCACTTTCTTCAACTTCTTCAATCCCGGCACGACTGTCATACTCCCGAAATGGGACATCAATGTATTCTTTGACATCATCCCTAAGTAAGTGAATAGTAAGAGCATTTAGCATGTCCTGTAGTACTTCTGGTACTCATTTTGAGCATGTAGATACCATATCACGACCCTAGTCCTCGTTCCTTCCCTTGTACACCAGCTCGTCCACCATCCACGCTTTAAAACTACTGATATGACCTCGGTTAAATCAATCGGAAGTGGCGGCGCATACCTCCCGCCCCAGCTCGCCGAGCAGGCTCGCTCCCGTTTCACAGACATACCAAGAGTTACTGAAGGTGCGTCCTCCACGTATCGTGTGCAAACCCCTGGTGCTACTGTCAACCTTCAAAAGGTTATGGTATGTCCGAATTCGTAAGTGGACTCTCTATCTACTCCTTCCAGCTCGCTGACGTCATTGTCTGAGATAGACAATGGCCATCGCCATGAAGCCCATCCCCGGCATGCTCGATGGACGCGCCAGAAACAAGCCTGGTTCTGCCGGAATGCTCGTCCCCGGTGTCGAAGCCCGCGTTGTCCGTCCCGACGGGTCCTTAGTGGGCCCGAACGAGGCGGGCGAACTTTTCGTTCGCGGAGGTGCTGTGACGCTGGGATACAAAGGAAACGACAAGGCCACTCGGGAAACGTTTGTCGATGGATGGTTGCGCACGGGCGACCGGATACGGATAGATGAGGACGAGGTGCTTTTGTAAGTTAATTCAACGAGTACGATAAACCCACTTATACTGAAGTCGACCCGTCCTGTTTGCAGTTTCGAAGACCGCACCAAGGTAAGATGCACTCCATAAACATAGCTCGTTTCGTATTGTACTGACCCCGGTCCTTACAGGACACGCTCAAGATCTCAGGGGTGCAAGTCTCTCCCGTCGAAATCGAGGACACGATTCTGGCGCAGCCCGACAAGCTCGTCACTGACGTGAGCGTCGCGGGTGTTTCGGGTGGGCGTACCTCGGACGAACGCATACCGCGTGCATGGATCGTGTTATCCCCCGCGGGCGTAGCGTTGGGTGAGAAAGAAGTCGTGAGACGACTCAATGCGTGGGTACAGGAGCGCCTGAGTCGGTTCAAGTGGTTGAGAGGGGGCATTCAGATTGTGGAGACGGTAGGTTTTTTCTTCATTTTGTTTTTTGGGGTGAGTTAATTGAGTCCTTGGATAGATTCCGAAGTTGCCAACTGGGAAGGTGTTGAGACGGGTGTTGGTTGAGGGCTATGAAAAACAGGTGAAAGCGAATGCAAAATTGTGAAACGTCATGCATGCATGTTTCTCATTACCCTTGACCGATGGGTGCTCATCGACATCCTGCAACTTGCTATCATGTTATGTACTTGCTGTTTATACTTGGAAAATGAATTAACGTCGATTAACCTTGACTTGGGGATAGTGTGAAATAGAAGACGCTAGGTCATGACTCGAGGGATAAGATAGACATATTGGAGTAAGAGGATACAAGACGCGAAGTATGATTAATAAGTGGTATCCCTTCTGCCAAGGTTGCGCCGGTGTTTTGAGCCATGGAAAGTTCACCGAGTATTGTGCGAAAGCGGGCCAACCGGGTCCAGAATACTGCACGGCCTTGCTCCACCAGTTCTATAACAGTTTTTTTTGTCAGTGCGCATCACGAATGCTGTACGATAAAGCATCCACAGCAAACAAAGCCGTGGTCATCCTCATCACATCAAGATAACGTGACGCAGGCGAGCCAATCTAGGAATTTAATGCACTTTCCAATACAGAGCCATGGTTCGTCTCCTTCAAGTTAGCAGAGGTGGCCCACAACTTTGATCCGTACAAGAGACTACGTGAGATATGTGGGAGAGTTGTGAGAATAGGCTAAATGTTTTATCAAAGTCAGACAGTACGCCCCGCTGCTGAAATCTGCAAAGGCTGTTGGCAAGGATGAGGACTGAAGAGAATGGCCGGGAGGAAGAAGGTGTACACGCAAATCCCTTAAAGGCTTTCGGCGAGATGGTGGAGAGACCATGATCAATTAGAATGATCTGGGCTACAAAGGAGTAGTGCAGCCTGATCTAGCTCGATTGACTCATCAAGGTCAGATGAGACGCCCCGCTGCGTGAATCTGTCTCGAAGGCTGCTGGCGAGATTGTTGAGAGACTTTGGTCGATCAGAATGACCGGAGGGACGAAGGAGTAGTGCAGCCCGGTGGAGCTCAATGGACTCATCAATGTCAGACGGGATGCCCTGCAGTGTGAATCTGTCTCGAAGGCTGACAGCGAGATTGTGGAGAGAGTGTGATTGATTAGGGTGACCGGGTGGACGAAGGAGTAGTGCGGCTCGATGGAGCTCAATGCAATCATCGAGGTCGGACGGGACGCCCTGATGACTGAATCTGTTCCCAAGACTGTTGGCAAGATTGTTGAGAGTGTGCGATCGATCGGGATGGCCAAGGGGGCGAAGGAGTAGTGCAGCTCGATTTAGCTCGATGCACTCATCAAGGTCGGACGAGATGCCTCGCTGATTGAATCTATTCCCAAGGCTATTGGCAAGATTGTGGAGAGAGTGTGATTGATTAGGGTGACCGGGCGGACGAAGGAGTAGTGCGGCCCGATGCAGCTCGATGCACTCATCAAGGTCAGATGGGATGCCTCGCTGACTGGATCTGTTCCCAAGGCTGTTGGCAAGATTGTTGAGAGTGTGTGATCGACCAGAATGGCCGGGGGGACGAAGGAGTAGTGCAGCCCGATTTAGCTCGATACACTCATCAAGGTCGGACGGGACGCCCTGCTGAGTGAATCTATCTTGAAGGCTGACGGCGAGATTGTGGAGAGAGTGTGATCGATCAGGATGACCAACGGGACGGAGGAGTAGTGCAGCTCGATGGAGCTCGATGCATTCATCAAGGTCAGACGGGACGCCCCGCTGATTGAATCTATTCCCGAGGCTATTGGCAAGGTTGTTGAGGCTGTGCGAACGACTAGAATGACCGGGAGGACGAAGGAGTAGTGCAGCCCGATTTAGCTCGATGCACTCATCAAGATCGGACAGGATACCCCGCTGATTGAATCTATCTTGGAGGCTGGCGGCAAGATTGTTAAGAGTGTGTGATCGATCAGAATGACCGGGGGGACGAAGGAGTAGTGCAGCCCGATGAAGCTCGATGGACTCGTCAAGGTCACATAGGACGCCCCGATGAGTGAATTTGTCTTGAAGGCTATTAGCAAGATTGTTGAGAGAGTGTGATCGATCAAAATGACCAAGGGGACGAAGGAGTAGTGCGGCCCGATTTAGCTCAATGCACTCATCAAGGTCGGATGGGACGCCCTGCTTAGTGAATCTGTCTTGAAGGCTGACAGCAAGATTGTGGAGAGACTTTGGCCGATCAGAATGGCCGGAGGGATGAAGGAGTAGTGCAGCCCGGTGGAGCTCAATGGACTCGTCAATGTCAGACGGGATGCCCTGCTGCATAAATCTGTCTCGAAGGCAGATGGCAAGATTGCTGAGAGACTGTGGTCGATCAGAATCACCGTGGGGGCATCTCTTCAAAGCTGCTCGACACTGTTCTACATCATCTGCCATGCTATAAAGTAACACAATTAAGCTACACGAGGACTGTCGGATAAATGGACGCAAGTGGTCCAAGACGACAAATACTGTCAAGTTATCCGCCTTTCATCAGCACAAAGACCAGTTAATAAGTTTGAATCGCAATGCACACGCACATAGAAATCCGAGCAAGGAAGCCGCAGTAGAAACCTGCGAGAGAGACTCCTTGAACCTCTACTATGTGTTGAACTTCCCACGTGTACTTCGGGTGGTACCAAATTGCCAATACCTGGTCTCGTGGCACGTCCCCTTAGACGTCGTGCCAATTTACTGACTCTACAGATGTGAATTCCAAGCAATGTCGATCTCGAAAGCTCCCAAATTCGAAGAAATACACTTGTAACCCCAAGTCATAGATTATCGAGTCGTATCTCAGGTAGATGACGCTGCAAGTTCTGTGCAGACGCCACCTAATTGGCGTCACAATCATTTAGCCCTACTCAATAACGATTTTATTTGGCCATTTTATTTCATGACAGTTCGTGCAAAAGCTTCCGAAATAAAATGAACGTTCGGCACGCACATGGCGGCGCTTGAAATCAGCTAAGCGAGGCGCAGGGGTTTCGACCGTGCTCATCGGCGTAGGCGTCGTTGAAACATGACGTAACACGTTCACGCTACCATGACAGATCGTTCCCCGCACGGCGCACGCCATAACGTCTCTCGAAGCACTTGCCATCATCTTACTGGCTGATGCAGAGACACCGGATGACCCTGGGGTGTTGTGGTGATCGTGTGCACTTTCTTGCTGGTCCATGTTGGCATCAGTATTTGCGATGTCGAGCACTCAGTACTCAGCGCTCCGTACTCAGCGCTGGGCGCTCAGCGCTGGTGCGTTGATCTCACCCAGTTGGCATTTCGGCAGCTCTCTCTCATATCAAACTCCATACTCGATACAGTATGCCAAGTGCGTTTTTGCAGCTTCCCCATTGGTGCAGCGCGGTTGATGGAACCACACGTAAGTAGTTAATTGCGCTGTGTGAAGTGCTTCGCAAAAAATCTGCTGGCATGGCAAATATTTGCCATCTGTTGTAATCTCTTAGCGGAATAGTATAAAAGCAACCTGTCTTCCTACCAATCTATTTTCATAATCACATATCACAAATAATGCGTCTCTCCTTCCGAGTCGTCCTTGCCGTTGTTGCTGCTTTGACAGCGTCCATAGCTGATAGTGCTGACAGCGAATGCCACACAGCTGACGGCCTTTGCACCACGAACCACGATTGCTGCCGTGGCTATATATGCATGCCAATAGCACTCCCAGAGCGTGACGAGGTGAGCATGAGCAGTTTCATCCAGGATTTGTGGACTCACCGGCTCGGGCGTGATAGATAGGAGAGTACATATATATGTGTGAGGTCGAATGAGCTACAGTGAGTCATGCTTTTGCTTTCTCATTGGTGCAACGTGGTTAATGACACCACACATAGCAAGTAGTTTGTTGCAGAAATGCTTACTTCTGAAAAAATATCACTGCTGCTCGGACAATGAAGATTTTAGGATAGAGAGACATCTTAAAATCTTGGATGTGTTAAGCCTAATGAATCGGTGCGATGAAGCACGGCTTTCTGGAGCGTCGGTCCCTGGCATCAAAATTTGAGGTCTGCTGGCGATCCGCTGGCATTGCAAATGACATCTGTTTGAAGGTGGGTTTCAGGTGGGTAGCGTCTGCACAGAATAGTATTCAGGATATAAGAAGCAAGCCGTCTTCCTACCGTCCCCCTTCGTATTTATCTCTGAGATTCCATCCATATCACATCTCACAAATGATGCGTCCCTCCTTTCAAGTCGTCCTAGCCGTTGTTGCTGGTGACCTCTATATTGTTCTGAATCGTGCCTTTCCTTTCCTTGCCAACCGTTATCACTCTCATTAGTTCTGACCACTACGAGTACCTTCATCGAGGCCTTCGGCCGACCCTCTGACTACCCGTATCTCACCTTTGCCTCAGGTTCTCCATTCATTCCTCGGCAGACCCCATATCCTTGTCATGCTCATTCGCTTCATTCTTTTCATTCTCCATGGCCCATCGCATGGAGGAAATTGCATTCGAGCACCGATGAGTTATCAACTATCTGGCTTCACGATTCGCAGTATCTATATTTCCAGACAGTGGAACACCAACGCGCAGAATCAGCTGTCAAGGGACTTTGACTGATTCTGTTTGTATTTTAATGGGGTACTTCAAGTTGAAGAGTCTCGGGAGTTGTGGTCGAAATGGCAGTATGTTAACTTCAGACTCAGTCAGAAGCTCCTGCAATTTTTGCTCACGAACAAAGCACAATAGTGCTTCCTGCTTTCCATACAGTCATGCAATCGGTAATACACCTCATATCTCAACCTCATCGAGCACTATTCTACTTGACATTCCTTGTAACTTGTTCTGCATAAAGCTCTGATTTTGCATAGTGGTTGCCTTGTGTACAGTGTTCCGTGAGTCAACACGCCAAACAAGTCTTACTACGGCGTAATCATCATAGGTTCAGAGTCCCTGCGTACATCAAATGGTGAGTTTGACACGACTAGATTCGGTGTAAAACGAGGCTCACGCGCCCAGTTAGAACTGGCTTCTTGCCTGGGTCCGGTTCCGGAGACTCTTCCTGCATTCATTGTATGGTGAGTTTGCCATGAAGATTTGGTGTGAAATAAAGCTCACACGCCCAGTTACTACTGGCTTCTTGCCTGGGTCCGGTTCCGGAGACTCCTCCTGCATACATTGTATGGTGAGTTTGACATGATCAGATTTGGTGTGAAATAGAGCTCACACGCCCAGTTACTACTGGCTTCTTGCCTGGGTCCGGTTCTGGAGACTCTTCCTGCATATATGTTATGGTGAGTTTTACACGTTTGGTGCGAAGCAAGGCTTACGCGCGCAAGTACTAAATAATTGGCCTATGCACATTGTAAGCTCAAGGTGAGATCTGACGCGAAGCCAGGCTTACTCGGGTCACAGCAGTGCTACGCTTGTCAATGGGAGCAGCGTGGCGAGCAGCCTGCAGACATTGTATAACAATATGATAGAATTTGACGCGATGCGAGGCTTACTGGCACTCCAGCGTTGACAAGGGCCGTCAGGCCGAGGAGAACAACGAACGCAGTAGAGAGGTGGATAAACATGATGGTGAGTTGATTTCACTTGTAAAGAGGTTGTTGGCAATTGATTGTTGGTGCTGTCTGTTTTATACTCCACAGAAGACGACGTCAAGGACATGTGATAGTACCAGTGATGAAACTGCTCGATGGTATTTGTCCAAAGGAGTCAATTGTCGAAGCATGATGCGTGTTCCGAGTCGATCCGACGATTGAATACTGTTCAAATCGCTGTGGGGATGCAAGATTCGTGATCGAGCCGGACCCTGAACACATTGCGGACTTTGCACTTTGGTTTCGATCAAGAAGCCTCGACTTTCAATTCAAATTTAGTGGGGAGGAGGTTTTGTATTGTTCCTATCTGTCCTACCATGACTCACTGTCCAGCAGACCGAGGTCACGGTAATATAAGTCATTAACAACCGCCGTTCCACCAGTCATAGCAATGTACGACAGACGTTCAATGAGCGGTAGTATTACCTACCATGCCAGCAGGCGTTAGTTACTAACCTTGTGTAATGTATGCAATCTACGTATGCCGGCTCATAATATAGGCGTCGAGCAATGTGCAGCGCTGCGAAGATTGTACGCTGGACAGCAGGCCCTGCAGAATGAAATAAATCATTTGAAATTGGCCTTGAAGGTTGCAAAATGACGTCCCCGAATATCGGTCATCAAGAACCGGGTTACGTTCCATATAATTTCAGCTTACCACTTGGTTCAAGTGCGCGTACCTCATTCCGGTAGTGATACAACAAGAAATAGCTTTGCCTAGACCTTTCAAATATACCTCGAAACACCACATGTTAAATAATACAACGATGGATCCTCCTCCAAATTTCTCCTTCCTGCAGACCACTCGGCAAGCATTTTTCTATACAGTACTGCTAGTCGATACATGTATACGCTCCTGAAAAACAATCGAATTCATGCTGGTTTCTGCGTCACGAGTTTGACGTGGCATTCTCGAATGCTAAGAATGAGGCGTGGTCCCAGCACAAACATCTGCACGACCGATAAAATTTGAAGGACACCTCCGAGCATCTGAGCTTCAGTAGAAATTGAATTCTACAGAAATGATGAGCAACGGTTGCACGCAGATATCAGCAACAGGTCAGCGCACCGAGATTTCTGGAGAGAGAACAGCAAGATGGAGGCAAGAGGCACCAACAAAGCTAACATGTGCGGAACTTGAGCGGAAAAATACTACCCCGTTCACATTACAAGCTCACCTTGCAAGATAAAGAACGTGAGATTGTATCAGCACTCTGAAACAGTCCCCGATGGTCGATCCTGTCGATGGGCCGAGTCGGGTCCCATTCTGTGGTATGGCAAAAGTCAGAGAGGAAACACGACAGCACACTCTATTCGGTGGATCCGATCGTGCACTTGATGCGACGGTGATCCATTGCATTGGCGGATACATCGTGACTCATGCTGTGTGATTGATAATTGTTAAATATGAGATGCCATACATACTAAGTCGAAAGAGAAATCGCACATGGGAGACGGAAAGCCCGTAACAAGCAAAAGGCCCAATTTCTGATTGTGCAGCCTCAGTCAGTGGCCATTATGTTTTGCAGTGCCGACTTGAGCAGGAGTCGGTGAAGGTTGCGAGCTAAAAGCGAGGTCCACCAGATGAGCAAAGAACGCCATTGTCAAACCTTCATCAGGCTCAGCAATTTCATGGGCAGGCTACGAAAGTCGCATGATAGTCTGATGCTTGTACATGCATAGCCATTGTACAATACACCGTTGCTTTAGAATCCTTATTCCACCTTCACGAAGTACCAAGAATACAAATCCGAAGTAGGATCGCATCTTCACGCGATGAGGCGCACGGTAACCATTCCATTCTCCATCTTCGCATGGAAAGCCTCAGCCTGGACGATGCAATCGCCATAACCTAGAAGACTTGCCATAGAAATTTTGCTGCACCGTATATCCGCCCTTTTTGTGGTTCTCCGAGCGCTTCAAATGCACAGATATTGTTAGGTGTTTCCCATGAGTTTTGATGTTGATATTCTTTCATTCGAGAAGCTCAACTGTTGCAGTCCGACCGTAGTCGCTGTCTGGCTGCGTAATTCCAGTGTAGGTCCATCCTGTGTTAGCGCAGATCAGTGACATCGAGTATTGGATACATGGATCTACGATATACTTACCTGTGGCAACACCAAATCACGGCGATGAATCAAGGCTCACAACGAATGAATTGTTGTGACATCAGTATAGACGTTGCAATCAGCCGACATGGCTCGTGCACTGCTTAGCGGAGTTACGAGAGCATCTGAGTGGCGGAGTAAATAGTTAGTATAATAGAATATCGGAATCGGCCGAATATATTCTGCGCGCCACGAACTCCTATTATCGTCGCTGTTCCTACTAAGCCCGGAACCTGAATCATAAGAGGTTACGAGCCCTGTGATACGTTAAAAAGCAAACGTTAAAGCAATACATTGAAATAATAATCAAGATGTCGAATCCCAATCCTAATCCTCCGACTTCTACAGCTACTGGGACTTCCACAACAGTACCTGTTCCTGCGGCAATACAAAAACCTAAAGAGATTAACCTCGGAGCGTTGTCGTCGTATAAAATCGAACCTTTGAAGGAAAAGAATTGGAGTGGATGGAAAGCCCGTATGATGGGCCTTCTCAAGCTTCATGGCGTGTCTGAACATGTAGACAGCACGACAAAAAAGCCTGATCCGAACAAAACGGATGAGTTAGCGTCATGGAATAAACTCGACCAAGTTGCACAGACCTTGATAATGAACAGCATCACTGATGAACAGATGGTGCATGTCACCGAGGCTGCAACTGTTACGACAAACGGTCGTGTGCGACTAGGATGATCTAAACAGCGACAACCATGACAGTGGTACTGAGTGCTGAGAGTCGTCGGCCTTTACAGACAAGCAAAGGTTGCATACTCGAATGTAGCTCGTGGTGGTTAACGAGGGGTTACGCTGAGATGATAGCAGGGTTTACAGACAGTGAGAGGCGTCACTGAAGGTACGAGTCGATGTCGAGCAGGTAGCTTTAGCGGGACAAGGAGTTCAAGGGTAAACCTAGTAAGATTAAAGTAAGGAGCGTCTACTTTAATCTTCGACCTTATATAAGGCTACTCGTCGTATCTAAGCTCAGCCTAAAGCTGGGTTCTAATCTGCTTATCTACATGTGTCAGAGATAGCGTCCATGAGGCGGGCTTCTATCGTAGATAGGATCCTCGAGGTATCCTTCTATCAGTACATGAGGCAACACGAGGCTTGCCTTCTATCTTGATAACATAAATAGGTCTTCTAGACCTATGTTGTCATATGCGGTCCAGACCGCTTATCTAAGCCGGCAGTTGCCGCTTATCGTCTATCATCATCTGTCATCATCTATTGTCATAGAGCTGGTGAGACTCCGGTATCGTCTATAGCCGTGCGGTTGGCAGAGGGCTGTCTGCTGGCGGGGGACTCATGCCATGTTACTGTAACAGCAACGGCCGAACAAATGTGGACAAACTTGATGAGTATTCATCAAGTTCGAGGACAACAGAGTGTCGTCGTCACGAAGCGAAATCTATTCGCTATGTGAGCAGCTGAAGGCGTCAATATCGTCGAACATATCAATGAGATGAAAAGGCAACAAAACGACTTACATCTTATGGGCGAGATGATTATGGACAAGGAATATAAATCCTTGCTCGTGATGTCCCTACCGGACTCCTGGGATGCCTTCACATCCTCGTACCTTGGTACGCATGCGGATGCGCAAGGGACAAAAGGTATAACGTCCCAGGAGATTACCTCGTTGATTATAGACGAGTATAATCGTAGGGAGACGCACAGTACGCAGGCGCAGGAGAAGGGGTATTATGCTAAGAGTACCGAACACGGGAAAAAGCGTAAGATTGAGAAGGAAAGACTGAAACAGAACTTACCGGAATGTTCGATTTGCGGAAGACATAACCATGTCACCGCAAAGTGCTATTGGAAAGGCAAGCCAAAGTGTATGTCCTGCGGCAAATTCGGACATGAGACTTTGGCATGCTGGGGAAACAAGACTTCAGGAGCATCATCTAGACCTGTAAAGCCGAAACGTGCTTACCAAGTGCGAGGCAATATGGAGGATGACGACACCGATATGGAAGTTGAAGACGAACCTAAAATTGTGTTTATGGTTCAGTCTGATCTTTCCCCGAAGAGCGAACAAGAATCAATGATCTGGTACGAGTGGTTCGCAGATTCAGGAACAACCTCGCATATAACCAGAGTTCGAACTGCACTTACAGAATATGTCCCAATGAAAAGTGAAGTTGTCGGGATAGGAAACGAGCCCCTTGAAGTGAAAGGGCGAGGCACAGTCGAACTCGAAAGCTATATAGGCAGACAAAAGGTCAAATTTTATCTAAAGAATGTATTATACGTACTGAACGCATCAAACAATCTATTATCTGTGCGCCAGCTAGACAAAGATGGCGGATGTGCTAGGTTCGGCGGTGGAAAAGTGGCCTTGTATGCCAAACAAGGACAACACATCGCAGAAGGACATATTGAACATGGCCTATATAAACTAAATGTTAGAGCGAAGTTAAGACTAATAGAAAAGACACATACCGTAAAAGAGAGACCACCAGCCGATTGGCTGACATGGCACAAAAGATATGGCCATGTAGCGGTAACAGGTCTTAAAAAGCTGTATAACAAAAAGTTAGTAGATGGCTTGAATATAGATAAAAGCGAACCTCAATTTGAATGCAAAGCGTGCATTCGCGCAAAACAAATAAGGGAACCTTTCCCGAAATTAGTAGATCAACGTGCAGAAAAACCATGCGAACTTACCCATAGTGATGTATGGGGTCCAGCAAGGACTCAATCTATAGGAGGAGCCCGCTACTATATCTCCTTCGTGGACAATTGTTCCAGGAAATGTACCATTGAATTTCTGAAACACAAAAATGAGGCATCATCAAAGGTAAAGCAATATATCGCTTACCTTGAAAGACAACAAACCGAATCACCCAAGACAATTAGGGTAGATAACGGTACTGAATATATAAATAATGAGCTGATAACATGGTGTAAAGAGAAGGGAATAGACTTACAAACAACAGCGCCCTATTCACCACAGCAAAACGGAGTATCAGAAAGACAGAATCGAACGCTAACAGAATTAGCGAGAGCAATGATAACCGAAAGAGAGTTACCAGAGTTCCTATGGGCAGAAGCGGTTGCACACGCCGCATATGTAAGAAATCGGGCACCAACCCGAGCATTAGATCATTCAACCCCTGAAGAAGTATGGAGTGGTAAGAAACCTGACGTGTCATACTTACAAGAATTCGGCGTACCTGTATATGTTCTCCAGGAGAACGCCAACCAATCTAAGATGCAGCCTAGGTCCATAAAACAAGTCTTCGTCGGCTTTGTGGATGGACCGAAGGCAATACGTTACTATGACGCCCGAACACGTCAGATACGAGTGAGTAGAAACTACAAGTTTATAAACTCACCGGAAAAGATCCCAGAAAGCGCTAATGATGTACAGCGCGAGGGGGAGATTGATATGGGGGAGATAGACGCGCAGACATCAGGGGGAGCTGACGCGCAATCACCTATACAAGAACACTCCGTAAATGAACAGCATAGAGATATACGAGAACACTTACAAGAAAAGAGCTCAAATGAGCGTATATCCACAGATAATAAGCGGAAAGAGCCGCCAGAGACAAATGAGCTGCCCAGAAGAACCAAGAGACAAACAGTTAGAAAAGATTACCGAAAAATGAATGAACCAGACTTACCGGACTTTGATAATGACGAAGATGATAGATCTAAGTCGTATAAAGTTAGAGACGGTAAACTACCATTGCCAGAACTTACAGAAGAAGACATAGTCTTGATTGCGATGGTAGAAGGAGGACACATTGACCCTAATGAGCCAAAGAATCTAAGAGAAGCACAGGCATCAATAGATTGGCCAAAATGGGAAGAAGTGATACGAGCAGAACTTACCCAGTTAAACGAAATGGGCACTTGGGAGTTGGTAGAACCACCCGAGAACAGGACGCTCGTAGGAAACAAATGGGTCCTAGTTAAGAAAACAAATAAAGAAGGCGAAATCATTAAGTATAAAGCAAGGTTAGTAGCGAAAGGGTACTCACAAATTCCTGGTATGGATTATACAGATACCTTTGCACCGGTAGTACGTCTTGAGTCGATACGATCGACGATGTCTGTTGCAGCAGCCCTAAATTGGGAAGTTGAGCAGATGGACGTGAAAGGAGCATATTTAAACGGCACCTTAACAGAGGAGGTGTACATGGTCCAACCGGAAGGATATGATGATGGTACCGGAAGAGTGTGTCAACTTCAAAAAACCTTGTATGGATTAAAACAATCTGGACGTGAGTGGAACATTGAGTTAAATAGTCATCTAACGAAGATAGGATTTAAACGTACCGAGTCGGATCCATGCATCTATATAAGACAGACCGAGACAGGCATGCAGATTATAACAATATGGGTAGACGATCTACTCCTGTTTGCAAATAGTGTCAATCTTATGAGTCAATTAAAGACGCAGCTAAAAGAGATATTGGACGTTACCGACCTGGGAGAACCTAAAAAGATAGTAGGAATTGAAATAACAAGAGACCGTGCCGAGAAAACAATTAAGTTATCTCAAGCACGGTACATAGATTCAATCCTACGAAAATATGGACTCCAGGACTGCAACGCAGTAGGTATGCCCATGGATCTGAAAATTGTATTAGAAAAGGAGGATACCGACACAAAAGGCGAACGAAGTAATAGTTACGCCTCGTTAGTCGGATCTTTAATGTATCTTGCAGTGGCGACACGTCCCGACATCGCGTATGCAATACAAAGGCTAAGCTCTTTTGCTGCAAATCCTGGACTAACACATTGGTCAGCAGCAAAATGGGTATTAAGATATCTAGCTGGGACGAAAAACCTTGGAATTAAGTATCGAGGAAACGATTCCACGAACGCCAAAGTCAAATTTGAGGGATGGACAGACGCAGACTATGCTAATGACGTTCGCGATAGAGTCTCAATATCAGGATATGTCTTCAAACTTAGTGAAGGAGCCATTACTTGGAGCTCCAAGAAACAAAACACTGTTTCGCTATCCTCAACGGAGGCAGAATATGCAGCGATGGCATATGGAGCAAAGGAAGCAGTGTGGCTCCGATATTTGTTCGAAGATTTGAAATTGGCCCAAGAAGGACCAACAATCCTATATGGAGACAATATGGCAGCGTTAGCAATAGCACGAGACCCTCAATATCACGCGAAATCAAAACACTTTGATGTAAAGAATCATTACATCAGAAGTAAGATTCGCAAGAAAATAATACAAGAAGTATACTGTCCTACAGAAAGGATGATAGCAGATGTACTCACTAAACCGCTAGCTAAACCGTCGCATCAGAGACTCTCCAACATGATGGGCATGTCTCCAGATTGAGGGGGAGTGTTGTGACATCAGTATAGACGTTGCAATCAGCCGACATGGCTCGTGCACTGCTTAGCGGAGTTACGAGAGCATCTGAGTGGCGGAGTAAATAGTTAGTATAATAGAATATCGGAATCGGCCGAATATATTCTGCGCGCCACGAACTCCTATTATCGTCGCTGTTCCTACTAAGCCCGGAACCTGAATCATAAGATGAATAATACCGTGAAGTGTTTGCATTCGCGCACCAAACCTAATACACAAGAGGCGGGGTCTCCACATATGTATTCGCGGCCAGCGTTGAAGCTGCCCACGGCGCTAACTTCGGCGTTTGCGGAGTCAAATGAATCAAGTTTTGCTGTCTATCCTGTAAACTCCAATTCTAACTTCGACCGGACGTCACGCGTCATGATTGGAAGCGGGGTTTGCGCTTGTTCACGACTGCGGTCACCCGGTGTCTACGACCATGTCTGCCAAGTCGGTATTTCAAGAGGAAAAAAACCCACGGGGTATTCCAAAAGCTCCATTCATCGTGCGTATCTACAAAAATATCTCAAATCTAGATCTTCTGCTCATGCTTAATAATGTAGGCAAATGTCGAAGAATATCTGGGAGGCCCAGATGGCGCGGTCGAGACTCCCCTAAAGAATTTCCAGGATGCTATCGCGTATGTTTGAGTCAATTTATATTCTGTAATGATCTTAAACCTAAGAAAGTCCAGGAAGTACCGATATATGGATGCCAACCTAACACAACAACGAAAAGGTCTGGAGGACAAGATCCCTGACATCAGAAAGACGTTGCATATGGTGGAGTTCCTGCAAGAAAAAAGAGTGAGTCCATCACTGCAAATACGTGCGGCAACGTTATCTGACGATCATGTAGGAAGACAAGGACAAGAACGGCGATCTGGAGGATGATCTCAGTGATGAGGAAAACTCTGACAATCCTAAAAAGCTGCCTACGACAACGTTTGAATTAAATGACACGCTCTTCGCGGAAGCAGAACTCGAGGACACCGACACCGTCTATCTATGGCTAGGGGTGAGTTTAGTTGTCCATTGCGAGTTTTCCGATGGTATCTGATTCGTATAAGGCGAATGTTATGCTATCGTACAAATTGTCAGAGGCTGCATCGCTCCTGCGATCCAAATTGGATCTTGCAGAGGCAAGCTTGAAGGCTACGATCGAAGACTTGGAGTTTCTGCGAGAGCAGCTGACGGTGATGGAAGTCAACACTGCTAGAGTTTATAATTGGGATGTCAAGCGGAGAAGAGAGCGTCGACTAGCCGGAGAAGCTGATGGAAAGTAGGGCGGCTAGCACTTGCATACAGTTGGGCAGAATCTTCTCAAGATTCATGCATCAGTCCTTGGGATCGATTGAATGTCATCGCATAAGCAGGTCGCAAGGTTTGCAATTTACACACCTACCAAATAACAAAGGCGTGAATAGCGCATCTTCTAATGCCTCTCAAAAGGAATTCAACCTCTTTCGCATGGAGACTAATACACGAGGCCTTCTACAGGCTGCAATGTCGTGAGTGGACATGTATTACTGCTGGTTTTTCACTCAAGACAAGTGCTACAGTGCATGCAAAACCGAACCAGAACTACACGTCCATCCCCAGACATTACTTGCCAACAATCCTAACACACCCACGTCAACATCACAGGTAATCATGCACTCCTCAGTGCTCCTCACAGAACTTGTCATAATACGAGAATGGCTTCATGAAACCGCCTCACAACCGCAACATCCACTGGCAGAAGCAACCACAGGATACTGGAAGTTTACGAAACATAATGTTATACAGGTTTTATGCACACGCTCAGGAATCAAAAAAGGTCTGGTGAATTAGGCAGAAAAGTACATCGACTGTGGGGAGCCGCAAGTGCCCTCGGTTCGCTATTATTTCAGTGACAAGCTATTGGTAAGTTAAGCTCTAGGTACCATCCACGCATTTCTGGTCTACTGACAGCAAATGAGCAATGGAATGACGATGGCGAGGGTTCCGAAGGATGGCAGGGAAACTATATTGAAATTATGGAAATCAACATGCCTCTGAGTGTGCGCTATTCAACCATCTGTGGACCATCTTGTTGACGTGTCCTTTGTGTCTATTTTCCGTGGGCTGACTTTCAGTCCGTCCCACCGCAAATCACGCATTCCACATCCATAAGGGTGATTGGAGGGCTGTTGCACATCCGGCTCAGCCAGCGAGACCGAAGTGAGTGTACTATCTGCACGCTTTGACCTGTGTTAGATCGATGACGTAGTACTCTCCAAGCTTGCAATAAAAATACTGCGTTAATACCACCGATGACTGCGGTCTATCTTTGTGTCTTGCGCAATACTGGTTTGCAAAACTTTGATTACCGATAGCTTCCTCTTTTTGCTTAGTTTCTCACCGCAATATAGATTTTGGCAGTGAAAGCGTTGAAATATCTAGCATAAAAGTATCGCTATACACCACCAACATCCCCCACTCGTTCACACTTATCCCTCAAATATGACCACAGTTTCAAACAATTCTAGTTGGTGGCCAATAATCAACTCAAATATCTTCTATAGCTATTGGATAGGTTTGTCGCTTGAAGATATCTAGTTCTAACACTGACTTACAGTTTTGCAGTTGCCGCCGGTGTCGTGATGATATACGATTGGGGTGAGTGGGCCCCGGACAGTGTTCGAAACCCGCTGATATTCTTACGATATTTCTAGTACTAACACTAGGACGAGAGGTAAGTCGATGTTATCGCCGGAGCAGCCAACTCGCTAAGAAAGATACCATAGATTGAACTGATCTGGGTGAGTAAAAAGAGTCCCGTATCAGAGGAAAAGCAGGAGAACGCAATGAATTCGCGACAGATGCAACGCTGGTCTCTCATGACTGTGCTGTATTTGGCTGTTCGTACCTCATGTTGTCCTATAGGGTGGTTGACAAATTGTGCTGACTCTCCAATGTTCTAGATACGCTATTTTGGAATAATATATTTCGTGTATGTCGAGGTCAAACATCGACACTGTGCTAATAGCTCATCCATGACAATTAGTGCCAATATTTTGAGTATGTCTCATATACACCGTATTCGATTCTTCTGACCGGTAGTACACAGCATTTGCGCCATTTGTCTCGCTGACAGATATAGTGAGCATTACGCAACCATCTCATCCCCATCCAAATGAATATACTCATTTCTAGGGGTGAGTGAGATTCTAACCATCGAACTTGGCTCAACATAATGACGCAATAGGTGTGAGTTGGAGCTTTTGATACCAGTACGAGGGTATTCACTAACTGGGCGTTTCAGGCAATATTACCTACTGCATACAGAATGGGATGGGTGTGGTCCTATACGCTATGTTGGGCAGTGAGTTCGCTAGCTCCAACACCTCTGTGATATTGACTCGACTGAAACGCGATGCAAGTCATCATGATTACTCGCTTGCATGTCATGTATCAGGGATCTAGAAAGATGCTCATCTTACTTGTCATTATCTTTCTGACTGTTACCATCACCTGCGGAGTCGTCATAACAATAGCACTCGAGCATATTGTAGGGGGTAAGCTTTACTGTTTGACTTGAAGAACCGGCTCATTGAATGAACGCTAGAGGAGTTGATACTCTCTGGCACGTACATGTGCGAGTATGAATCTGAAGGGGACGACGTCCAGCTTCTTTTTTTAACGTATTGGATACTCTACACTGTTTGGGAGGTCCTCGCACTATGTCTTTCAGTCTGGATTGCTGTGAAATACTTCCGTGACCTGCGGCGACTCGGCCCATCGACAGGATCGACCGCCGGGGACTGTTTCAGAGTGCTGATAAAAGCTCACATGCTTTATTTTGCAAGGTGAGCTTGTAATGTGAAGGCCATATTTGCTGCTCAAGTTCCGCACATGTTAGCTTTGTTGGTGTCTCTTTGTTTCAGCTTACTAGTATCTCTCAATCACTCGTGGTGCGTTGAGCTTTCGCTGATATCTGCTTGTAACGACTGCTCATCATTTCTGTAGAAATCGGTACTCAATGGTGCTGTTCAAATTTCATCGGTCGTGCAGGTGTTTGTGTTGGGACCACGCCTCATCCTTAGCATTCGAGAACATCACGCCAAACTAGTGGCCAGCTTCGACACAGAAAATAGCATAAATTCAATTGCCTTCCAGGAAATATCAACTAGCAGTACTATGTAGGAACATACTTGCCGAGTGGCCTGCAGGCGAGAGAAATTTGGTCGAAGATGCGTCATGTAACACAAGCGGTGACCGGTGACCTTCGGTTGTTGCTGCTTTTTATTAACACACTCATGTCATTCCACTACAAAAGCAGACATTCGTACACTAGATTCACCTACAAGTTTCAGAAATGAGAAATTATTTTCAGTTGTCTTTTTCCACACTAATCTCTTTGTGAGGCTGCAGGCCAACAAGATTTGATCGTCGTGTGTGCCTAGTGCTGCCGCGGTCCGGTCCAGAACCATGGTTCGAACCGGACTTTTGGTCCGGTTCTCCGCGGTTCGGTCCATGGTTCTCGCGCCAGCCAGAACCGGACCGGAAAACGGTTCTCGGTTCTAGATCTTCCCAAATGGTCCAGTTCTGGTTCGACCTTCCCGAACCATTCCGAACCCCGAACCCATTGTCAACTTCGACTTCGACTTCGACTTCAACTACGACGACGTCAGTCTCTATGTCGACGTCAAAGTGTCGTCTTCAGGAGTTGTACTATTGGTTAATTAGGCTACTTTTAGCCTTTTTGAAGATTAGTACTAATCAATCAACTCTCAAGACTCTGTCCTCAAGGTAGTTATTTGTATATCCGTTTTCATTTTATTTACTGATTGAGTCAACCGTGCCGCCACCACCACCACCACTTGCTGCAACCACTACCCCACTCCAGCAACAACCAGTGTCTAGCGCATGCGCCCAGCACATGCCAGCAAATGCTGGCGTGGCTAAGGCGAATGCGGATGACACTTTGTTGAAGGAGAAAGGAAGACACCGGGGGAAAGAGAAAGGAGAAGAGGAATGGGAGAAAGAAAGTTGTCGAGGAGACGAACAAGGTGCGCTGCCCACTCCCAACATACCTCAATGACCTCTCACGTCTGGCTCGTGATATTCTCGCTATTCCGGGCTCACCTGTTGCTGTCGAACACATTTTTTCCGGTGGCCGTGATACTATCTCTCTTCGGCGTGCTAGCTGTATCTCACCCACTGTCTCTCACTCCGCTGTCTCTCACCCGCCACCTCTCACTCGAGACGTGCAGGTGTTTTCTCCCTGTTCTGTGTATAAAAAAAGGTGATGGCAACATCTGAGAATGGAGGCGCAACTCAAACCGCACGTACCTCTCTCATTGTCCTGAATGTCTTCCTTCGCTGACGACGGAGGTCATTCAGGTACTCACACAGCACGCATGCGCTACTTTGGGTGCTATTGGCGACCATCACACAACAGCGCATGCAAAAGGTGCACTCAGCCTTTGCACTGCAGCGGCATGTATCTTCCTGCCCTCTCTTCACAGCACGGCTAATTATTTCCTGTGTTTTAGGTGGAACGTGCCATCCGCCTTATCGCTTCCGAGACGCTTGTCAGCAAATTGGAGGTGAACAGTAAAGGCAAGGCCGTCAAGGTCCCTCACTCTCTCAACAAGTCCTCGGGCAAGATCAGCGGCTCTCGAAAGGCGTTCTCGGACACTAATTTCGGTGTAATGACCAGGTGCTACATGACATCCATCAACCGCCTGCAAGACTCGGTCATCCAGGATATCTGGGAACGGGCGAAGGAGATTGCCTTTAAGAGGCGTGGTGCACCCTCCGCTCCAGACGAAGACTCGGAGGATGAGCGCGCACTCATAGGGTTCTAGTTGTTGTCTTTCTTGTTGCCCACTGCATGCATCTCCTTCACTGCTTCACTGCTTCATAGTATGCTACTGCTTCGCTAATTGCTGCTTCTGAAACTCCTTTTAGTGTCTTTTGTCCAACTTTTTCTATACTTAATCTACTTGTCGCTTGAAATGCTATGTTTTGCCGTCATTTTTCTCTCAAAAAGTGTGATTAAGTCGCAAACAAGTAGAAAATAAGTAAGATAAGTGTTATTACTTGCTGCTACTTTTGCTAGCACTTGCACTACTTACAAAGGCAAAATTATCGAAAAAAGGCCAAAATAAGAGTGGAAAAAGGTCCAGTCAAGAGGAGGCATCTGCTTTTTCAACTTAAAATTGCTTGTGGCAAGTGGGTGTCACAGTTCTTGCGCGTGGCTTATCCGCACCTTTTTTGGAAGTTAACCGGCGGCAAGTTACCAAAAAGGCAGTTCAAGAAATGTGAGAATTTACTGATGCTCTCACTGATGCGTGCCTTACAAGGCAGCTTACTTCAAATTGCTTGTCTGGATCAGACGCCGCAGGTTCACATTACCCACTAACATCGACGGTAAGCATTGGTTGTTATTGTGTTTTATTTCATTCTCACCATTTGTATAGATCGAATCAGTTAGCTCTTGGATCAGCGGCTACAGTCATATGTAGCCATGTCATTGGAGTAGCTACTTGATGTGTAAACTAGTCTTGCAATGATTTTTTTTTCACGCTCACCACTGAAAATTTTCGGGTTCGGTTCGAGTTCGGACCAGAAAAAAACCGAACCGGACCACAGAGAACGGTTCTCTGTGGTCCGGTTCTCGGTTCTCGTCCAGGACCCTCTGAACTGGACCGAACCGGACCACGGCAGCACTATGTGTGCCGACAGTATGACTAATCGAGAGGTTCGGACTAAGAACGAGAACGAAGACTTGAGATCGGGTCAAAAGACTACCGAACGACATTCGATGCGGAGAGGTATTAATATGATGATTGAGACGGAGAATCAAAGGAAAACGTGTATAAGGCATGCAACGAAGAGTGATTGCGTATGTAAAAGAAAAGGATGAGTACATACGAGAGTGACGTCGATGGTCATATCTTGACAGACAGTATCCACATCATCGGTGGAAGCTCTGATGCTTACTATTTCGCCCGTCGAAACCATACAGTTGTCTCATTACTTTAACTGCATATATACTTGTCCACCGTGTCCTCGAATCCTGGATATGATGGCATACTTTCTTGCCGCAATTCATGTGTTGGTTTGAGGAAGGGAGATCCCAGCCTGAGGATGCCCAGGATGACCAGGATCTTCAATTAACATGACTTGTACTAGCTCAGGCATCTCTCCCTGTTACAGGGATCTGTAACACCTACTAGAGCCCCAGCTCTCCCTACGCCTGCCCCCGCTCTGCTAGACTCCCCGCGCGGCGGTGCGCCGCCTGCGCCTAGAAAGACAGCGGTCTGGACCGCTATAACCCCGCCTCATGGCGCTGTGACCCCGCCTGACGCTATGACCCCGCCCCTGGCCTAGACGGCCCTGTACCTGTTCCATGGAGGCTGTACGCCTCATGAACACCCTAGATCAGCGCATGTATAACGCATGTCGCTTCATGAAGATCCGGAGCGCCCTTGGCGCCTCATGTATGAAGATCCGGAGCGCTTCTACGCGCCTCCTGTTGATTGCGCAGCTGCACTTGGCGCTGCATGTATGATCAGAGGTTAAGCCTCATGTACTTTATCTAACCTCATGTCTGGTTATCTTAGATCACAGATATACTATAGATTACAGACTGAGCTTGAACGCCTACATACACTATGTATAAGTAGACACATTGTTGTAGATTATACTTCACTTTAATCTACTAGGTTCTACCAAGAACTTGCTCATCTTAGCTTAACCGCTTCCTTGTGTGAGACCGCACTTCAAAGTTGCCCCCATACGACTTTGCACGTATCCGCTAGCCCTGCATCTCGACGAGCGCCGTCTTACCGAGATCGCCGGAGGAATCCTTGACGTTCCGTCAAGGCCAGACCACGCTCAGCTTCAGTAGACTCACTCGAGTCGTCGCTGAGAAGACCTATCCTAGTTCGCACACGCCGACCTACAGTCGACGTAACACTCCCTGTTTTCTGTTGCACTAGAGTAATCCTCTGGTCGGTGACTGGAAACCGAATCAAGATTCAAGAGACAACCGAGAGTGTCAGAGTCAGTACTTGCACAGAAGCCTGAGAGGTACATGTCATTCATGGGTGTTTCAGGGACTAGGGTGGATGTCTTTAGCTGATGCAAAGTTGGGGATAGATCAGTCATCGAGTGCGGAACAGTAGGGAAGCGAGTGGCTGTGGCTCAGAGTGTACTACTACTTATGTCATCTACACTGCATCAATGACATGCTTTGATGCACGATTTCATAACACACTGGCGGTTTGGGAGTTTTTCACCATGCAAGATTTGTTTCGAAATGTTAGTGATAAAGTTGGCATTTTTACTATACATTTTGACACAGGAAAATTTTTAAATCCCGATGAGTGCCAAAATCCTGGAAAAAATTCTACATTTTGCGCACCATTTTGAGCGATGTAAATTATAAAGTTTTGAACGCTGGAAAATGTGCCTCAAAATATCAAGTACAGTGATCCCACGGTCCTTTGTACAGGACCGCTCTATTGTACAATTCAATTTCCTCGATGAGTTCCTCATCAACTCCTTGTAAATCTTGTATCATCATGTTCAGAATATATCCTGCTATTTGATAGTACCAAAAAATACAGTACTCAAATTTAGAAAATCATCAGAATCTGCAAAATATCACTCTGGAGCAATATGTTTGAATTTCTCGAGCATCAAAACCTCACCATTGCATATAGTTTCACCCCTTCCAATTCATCTGCAAACAATTAGAAGTAGTGGAGATGATTTTAGTTAGAGTTTCATTGGTGCAACATGTTGTGATCCACGAGTGATGGTCTAATTTTGTTAGCTAGACTAAGCATGGACACGAGGTGTCCTCAGTTTGACTCAGTCTTGCTTGACATCTCCTTTTCACTGCCAGTATTCAATATACCTTCAAATCACACATATAGTCTTCCAACATGGTTGGGAGGCCAAAATCATTGACGAAGAAGGCACAGGTCACACGTGAGGAGAAAGACAAAGTCATGGCTCATGCTGTGGCTAAGTACCAAGCTGAACTTGCAAAACTGAGCTCAGAGAAGAAACAAGGCCTTCGGAAAGTGTGCATGGATGTTCAGAAGGAGTACCTCAAGGAGACGGGACGAGTTATCAGTTTAAATCATAATACTTTGGCCAATCTTGCCAAGGGAGGAGTTCGGCTTAGTGAATTCAATAGCTCGACAAAAAGTTGGCTCACACTTGCAGAAACAGACAAAGTTCTCGAATATGTTGTGGAAATGGCTAGACGAGGCTTTCCCCTTAGCCACAAGTGGCTCAAGGAGCATGTTGATGAAGTATGTCAAGCTCGACTTGGAGATTCATTCCCGGAGTCTGGAGTGGGAAAAAACTGGACTCAGCATTTCGTCGAGAAGCACTCTGACCATCTATGAGCTTACTGAGCACATTCACTTGATGGTGCTTGTGGCCGTGCTGTGAACCCAACAACTAACAAGGCATGGTTCGAAATGTTGAAGGATGTCCTGGAGAGTGGAGATGACGACAAACCTATGGCACCAGAGTGTATTTGGGGTGTTGACAAGACTGGAATTCAACCAGGAGGAGGGAGCTCACAAGAACGAGCACTTGGTGGAGCTGGAACACAGGTTCAATATCAGCAGCAAAATGGAAATCGTGAAAACATTACTGTTTTGGTCACAATCTGCGCAGATGGGAGTACAATTGCACCAGCAGTGATCTTCAAATGAAAAGCATATCAATCAAAGTGGAACAGGAACAATCCACTCAAAGCATCGTGAGTCCAACTCATGTGTTGTCTCGTACCTTATATAACATTGTTCCTCATAGTATTGGTTATTTGAAGAAGGGCTGGACTGACGGTGAGATTGGTGCACTCTGGATCAAGCATTTGATGAGCAGACACACAACAAAGCTAATGATCATACTCGCCTACTTCTTGTTGATGGGCATAATTCTCACTACACTCGTGCATTCCTGGAGTATGCTCGACAGCACCGAATTCACATCCTCTGCTATCCTGCACACAGTATTCACATCTATCAGGGCCTGGATGTTGCAGTGTTCGGTGTCCTTACACAGTATTGGTCAGAAGAACGTGACAAATGGGAGCACGAGAACGGAGAGAAAGTGACAAAGAGCAACTTCCTTGTGATCTATGGTGCTGCCCATGTTCGTGCACTCACACCAGAAACAATTAGATCTGCATTCCGAAAAACCAGTGTATGGCCTTTCAATCCTAAAGTTGTCACAGACGAAATGTTGGCTCCTGCTCGTGAATCATCTAAACAGGGACACCTCCCAATCACTCCCGCATCACCCAGTTCAAGCCATTTTACAGTTGTTTAAAGACCTGCAACCAAGGGCAGACACTCGTAATTGTGGTATGGAACTTGGTACAATTGCTGAAGAAGATAGTAGTAGTAATGACGAGACAACTCCAGGTAATTCTCACTGTTCAAAGATCAGATCAATAACTTTTCAATCAGCAGATGAGAACACTTACGATAACAATAATCCTTCTCAGATTGATGGTAGAACCATCCACAACATCTTCGCACGACTTGAAGAAACATCTGCACGATTCCTCATATCATCATCTCCCATCAAATCAAGTACAAGGTTGCCTACCATGCCACTAGCAATAATCTCACCCATCAAACACGCACTGAAATCAAGGTTGCACTGCAACATGTCCTTGAAGTCAACAAGGGAGAAAAAGCTCGAAGAGGAAGTGAAAAATCTCACCAAGCAGGTCACAATGCTCAAAGAGCATGTAAGCGCCCTTCAAGCAACTGTAATCCTCCAGGGACGCTACTGTGATCGAGTTCGTAATCATCTCGAGACGCAAGAGAAGAAAGGCTGTAGGGACAGTGACAATATTAAGTTAAACGGAGATGGTATGCCAAGGCTACTTACCAGTGACGAGGTCTTCGAGCAAGTCCTGCAATACCAGGAGCATCAGCAGGCCAAAGCAGCTGAGAAGGAAACAAGGAAAGCAGCACGGGAGGCACGAACACATGAGATGGAGGTGTGGATGCAAGAGGATGAGGCGAGAAAAAGCTGAAACAAGGCCAAGACTGAGCAGTGGAAGGTTGCTGTCAAAGAGTAGGAGGCTGAGTGAGTGCTTGCAAAGCAAGAGAGACAAAAACTGCAGTGGAAGAAGCCTGTTCGTAGATCAATTGAGAAGCCTTGCCCTAAGCTGAAGAATCCAAGGAAAATTGGTGGAAATATTGACGAGGAGGATGGGCAAGATCAAGGAGAGTATATTGACATTCATGAAGGGTCGATTGGCAATGACAGCGAGTGCGAGGATGATGATGAATAGGACAAACAGCGAAATGTGACGTGTGTGACATGTTGTAACAGGGTTAGTCACACTGCTGTACAAATGAGTCAGGAATGGGAGAAAATGGCTTGCTCAACTGTGCAAAGTGCCGCCAACTGTACAGGGCTAAAAATGCTGTAAAAACTTGGTATAAGGCAGATCAAAACCTATTCTGTCAGAGGTACCAGACCATTTTCTCTATATTGAAGATTTTATAATTTTACACTCGTTTCTTCATTTTCCTGTCCAAAGGAGCGGTTGATCACTGTAACGATGAATATTTTCCAATTGCGGGCACAATGAAATTTTTCGCAAGATAAAATGAATAGGTAAAACGTGAACTTTTAGCACGGGAAAAATGATGTGGGCACTCATCGGGCACTCATAGGGCACTCGTTGGGCGTTCATTGGGCAATTGGGGCAATCGTTGGTATTCACATTGGGTATGTAGCGTACAAGGGACTACAGGGAGTCTGAGAGCAGTGAGAGATATGATGTCTATCGAGATTTATCGGAATCTGCGTTCCTTTACAAGGCATACCTGATCGAATCGCAAAGTGAAGCTAGTCCTAGCAGTAATTGCAATCTCAACAGTATTCTTCTTCATGTTGCACTTTGCGATAGTTAGGACCTCACCGCGAGAATCACCATCCAGAATGAGACACTTTTGGTTTTTTTTGCGTGGCAGAGCTGGACTTAAATCACTGACATCAATATGGTAGTGTTGAAGCGCAGCTCCAGCACCATTGGATGTGCAAAACACTGCGATGCAGCCATCAGGTGCGGGTCCATTGTCACCACAGAACGGGTCGGGACACGCTGTGAATACAAAGTGATTATGCAGCCTGCCTCCCATGAAACTTGGTGATACTTTAAGCACCACGTGATATTGAGTCAACTTCAATGCAAACTCCTTGTTGATCAACCAAGATAAGGGGCCTGTAATGAAATAAGCCAAATGTTAAGGAGTTTACGTTGGAGACTTACTGTCGTTTCGCTGCTTCTCCTTTCTATCTGCAATGGTGTCCTCGATATCCTCTGCATTGTTAGCAACCCAGGGGTCGTATGCCTTGACGTCAGAAAGGCTATCCGTCGGATCACGATTGTTGTGACTAGACCAGTTGGACCACTCACTGGAGCTGGGATCCATATTGAAACTGGATGGGACTACGGGGTCAGGTGGTGGGGTCTTGCTTTGACATTGGGGCGTTAGGTATGATTTCCTCTGCATGTCGCAGAAGGAGATCATGTCTAGTCCTTCGAGTATTGACCCGTTTAACCTCATGCTGTACCTTAAACAGTCGTGAATAAAAATGAAAAAGACAGTATGCTCTGTGGTCACCTAGTAGCAACGTCCTCGTGTTTGACTGTGGTGTGCGCTTGCCCATGCACAGCAATGGAGCAAGTCTCCTGACTGAGTTGGTATAGCATGGCTTGATAACCCTTCCGTGCACCTCTGATAATGAAAACTTCTTTCCCGATGACATCGCGAAACAAATCCGGGTTCGAATTGGATACTTTCATGACGAATCCAATAGGAACGTCCACCTGTCATAACTCAGACACGGTCAATTCGAGGAAAATAGTACTTACGAGTGCGCAATCACCCTCAGATATCAGGGTCAGGCACATGTTTGGAAAGTCCACGGTTTGCACGACTCCTTTTGTCTGGAACTCTGGCCCACGGGTGACAATCACAACATCTCCGGGCCCAACATTGTAACCCCTTTCCTTAGTAAACTGGAGAGTCTTGAAGGGGCGGATGCGCTGTACGAATGCCACGGGGACATTGATGAGCTGGTCCTGGATGATGCCCCCAGTCCGAACCCACAGCGTAGTTTCTCCTATATGAAACCACATTACAATCCCACATCGTCCCATGTACTCTCCCGCACACACTTCTATGTCGTCACTGATTTGAAGAGATTTGAGCTTGGGGAGAGGGTCGAAATCTGGCTGCGTTGGCAGCCGGGATTGAAGCACGTGAGTTAGAGGACGACGATCTAAGTAGTACTTAGATACTTCCACCTATGTAATGTCAGACAGGGTTATAGGATGTTATATTCACCCATACCTCTTCATTGGTGGCCTCTTGACACACGTGAAACAAGTCCTCAGACTTTTTGATGATGTACCCTTCTAAACCTGTGTAAGCGCCCGCTACAACTTGAACCGTGTTGCCGACCCAAAAGACATGTTCAATGTCCTGGAGTCGGAATTCCAGTTCTTGTCGATGTCCATCAAGGGTGAACTCTAAGCGTGCAGAGCCAGACACATGGTCTGTCGAGACGACCATACCCATTTTTGAACGGATTTCTCCTGTGATAGGCCTGGCCGAATCTCCGACACGCAAGAATTGCAGTGAAAAGGCCACCAGAGTTTTCTTGAAGAAAGGTACATCCCACCCGGATTGCAGATGTAGTCAAATATCGTTAGCATGAGGGGAGGCGACTAGCTCCAGGCTGTCACGGCGAAAGTTTTTCGATAAAAGCCCCATGTAGTACCGCTCTCCTTTGTAGGACCATCCTACAACTCTATCGTCCTGAAGGATGTCGGACACTGTCTTGTTATTCGGCAAGCGAGCTCGGTCAAGAAGTGCCACAGATCTCTTAGGCATGTCATAGGGAAAGTCACGTGGGGGAATTAATACTGTAACAAATTCATTTGATTGTTTAGAATCGAAGACATAACTGATGTCGCCCTTATACTTCCCCTGAGTGATTTTCACCCACCCTGGGTTTGGGAGTGTGAAGTGTGAACGCCCGACTGCTGCTTGTTCTTCTTCCGAAATGCGAATATAATCTTTCACGGAGGAAGAGAGTAGATCAAGCAACGTCGCAATCGTTCTAGGGCTATCTGAGATAGCATAAATCTGGCTTGGTATCCAAGGTGATACGGTAACCACAAATTTCTTGCTCCTTAGATGTTCAGCGACACGTTGCGTGGCAGATCCTGCGATGCATTCAGTGTCATGCCAGGTCATTAAAATATACACTCACTGTGAACATGGAGAAGGTACATCCTGCTTTGGACCGCGCCAGAGGACGAGGCTGCTCTAGGATACGTGTCTGGTGCATTCCCTTCGTACCTGTCAAAGATGCGATCGATTGCTACGGATAACTTATCCTTGGCCGATAAAGTTGCTGGCAAGCGTGCAACGTTCAACAACCCCATAGAAGAGCCATCATCGCCCTCCAACTGGAAGTTTTCCTCTTCTTCCTCCTCCTCCTCCTCCTCCTCCTCCTCCTCCTCCTCCTCCTCTTCCTCATCATCAGATGCTTCATCGTCGATAAAGGGATTTTTTGGCTGCATTCATTATTTAATATAAATGTTGCGGACAAAATGAATGCATTTCTTACTCTTCGGACGCGTGCGTTTTTCAAGCGACCGGCTGCCTTTGGGGCAGACATGGATGTGGCAAAATCTTTGCGCCGAGTCCCGATTGTCGATGGACCAGAGGCGCACTGGGGCACATATCTGGCCTTCAAGGCAAGAAGATTTGCTAAGGCGAGGCTGTCATCTCCATCACCGGAGAACAACACATCACAAGCTTTTTTCCAATCGTCAGCATTGTATCGATCGCCCAAGTGCGAAGTAATGGCCGCCTCCATCTGAGGGTAGGTCATATCTGTGGTGAGATACTGTTCCAGGATGCACCATGCGCCGTGATCTGCCAGCGGTGATGGCGCTCTCATCCCTGTGTTATCCGCATGAGAGAAAATACAGATGGCATGATACAACTCACCTTCATGGTTCCTGACGTGTTTCGGGATAGGTTCATCACCATGAGACTCGGATGCCGTGCGCTTGGACATCCTGCAGTTGACATCAATTAATTGAACATACATAGTTTTGTTGTAACGAGATGCTCACAGTGCACTATTCTTTCTATATATTCAATATTCTAAAGACTATGATTATCTATCTATCAACGTATTGAGGTAGTGGTGATGGAAAGGAGAGAAATTAATGCGCAGGAATCATATTTATAGTGAATGACTAATTTGGAGGCGCTTAGCAAATACAGACAGACAAAAATGTCATTGTGGAGACAGTATTGTGGACCTTCGATGTTTTGTACTAAGCTAAGACCTACGACCTAGAACAAAAGTCCTGCCTGCCCACATAAGTATACCCGTCATATACACGACAACAATAATTTAAAAGTTATGAATTCCACCATTCTATACATGTACTACCTTGGGTTCGAAAAGGGAATTTCTGTCAAAAGGATGCACTAGATATACAGAACGACTGCGGGTTCAAACCCAGCCGACCACAGCCGGCTGTGAGAATTCCGGCTGAGATTGAATCTCATGGTCATTCTGTATATCAACCCGTGTGTTTCTAATATGTTTCCTCTTTCCGACTTCTATCTCATTGTGCTTCGTCTGACTGACTGGGGGTACTTGACTTGGACTTAAATACTTTGTGCTTGCTTAGGTGTTCTATTATTTAGAGGTTGACTTCGCATGTAGTAGTCAATAAGCTTGACTTTGAGCAGCAATCACATGTAATGTCAATAACAAGGGCTGGCGGGCACTACAAGACCTATGACTGTAGATCTGTGTCATATCGCAGGTAACATTACTGATGTGAATCGTCGTGCCATGAATCACTTGCGTGTACGTTCTTTCATCATCGTATCTAGACTAGAACTAATTTCCGAGAAGAATCACAGCGTGCATGTCCTCATTATGCTTCTCACTGCCTAATATGATGGACTTCACTCGTCTGTCATGTTTTCTATTCTCCGCCGAGCTTCGCGCCCTCTCAAGGATCTTGCCCTTTCTCTGATCCTCGATGTATTTCTCTAGTAAGACATGAGCATCTGTCAGGTCCTGCGGTCGATCCCCAAACTTTGAGTATTTTTGCCAGGCATTTCCCAGTGATGCCAATGAGGATGTATTGTGCAGCTCGAGGAGCTGCAGCATAGTGGGTCAGCTTGTTGTGTGTGGTATAACGATGCATACTAACATATGCTATCAGTGCCATTGCGATAGCTAGCTGGGCTATTCCCCGCACGAAGTTTTTCAGCGCTGATAGAGGACGGTCTGCTGACTTTGCAGTACTGTCATGTTTACGACACCAGATGGAGATGGCTGGCTCTGTGTCATTCATAGATGTTGCCCCGAATATTAGGCTGTGGTGTGTACCATCATATGTCTGAAGTTGTCTGCCTGTCAGATCAATCTTTTATTATTTCATGTAAATAGCGCACCGTCACCGTTTGTACTCGACCCTTGTCGGCATGTTGCAAGACTTGTTTTAGTGTTCCTTCATTTTTGTCAAAAACATAAATAACTCCTGTGTTGCTACCCCCGACTACGAGGGTAGCCTTCCCCCCAAAAGCAACCTGCTTCGGGAATGTCTTGACTGGGTTGGTATCATAGGTACGGATACACACTGCGTCATCCAGGCAATGTAAGCTGAATCCATTCATGACATTGTCCATCAGGAACAGCGTTTGAGCTGCGTCCACAGAAGCATGCCCGCTATAGTGATGTGGTAAGTGATAGCCAACGATTTGATGTAAATATATTGCTCACATCAATGGCCCAGCGTTGTTTGTAGCGATGATGCCACCATCTGTGCCCCTAAGTGTATGTCTAGAATGGGATATTAGATTTATTGTAGACAGGTATAATCACCCACATATCACCGTCATACATGCCAAAAACTAATATGTCTCTACTTGCAGCACGGTTGAAATTTATGGTATGCGGGATGGTAGTAGCGAGTTCGATGCTGAAAATCGGTATCAACGGTCCTTTGAAGTCAAACACCCAAACTTGAACGCGTCTGTCGCGGGTCCCACTCGCAATACGAGTGTCGTCCCCGGTATGGTCGTATGTAAGACACATGATCTCCTTACCCGTTCCGATCCTCCTTGACACTTTCACATTGAAGTCCTGCAAACCTTCTCCCTGTTGTTGCCAAATCCCTATGAAACTAAGCCCTGTGCCGTAACATAACATTTCGCGCATCACTTCATGGCAGGTAATCCAGCATGCGCAAGTCACCGGATCGCCTGGATTTCGAATGGCTGGGGTTTGAGGTGGAATTGGGAGCTGAACTCGCCTCTTAAGGTCCCAAATCCTCATTCCGTCACAGCCTGGTGCTTAATGAGTTAAGTCAAGTTGTATTTCATCATGTCAGACTCACCCCCGCTTGCTAATGTACTGCCATTGCGAGAGACCGCTAAACAATTAATGGTGTTCTTGTGCCCAACAAGGCACCCTTCGAGGCGATAATCGTTGGAATGATTGGTAGGGAGTAAAAACATTGGGAGCGTCAATGTAAGTCCATCGATGTCTTGCAAGTCTTTAATATTGATTGACTGACACAATAAGGTCCATAAAAACTGCACGACAACCAATAACGACATCCTGCCTAACAATGTTATCCTGTGGGCGTCCGGTCTATACCCGGCCTACACCCCTCGCATAAAAGTGTCTTCTTGCTCAAGTTGGGTATCAGGTCAGTCATGCTTTCGTCCTCCATGCCTGTAGCTCCTTTTTATGAGTCTGAAGGCCCTTTCCAGGCTCTCCCGTTATTGATGTATCACACAGAAATGTTTTGTCCAGTGACAACATTAATCTCTATATCTTGGCAAGAAGAGATTCTATTCTTCCCTCGTAAACCCAAACTCACAGGGCGGACTCTAACTCCTTCGCGCGTGTTCACTACCACGTCTCGCGCGGTGACACCTATCCCTTCGAGCCCATTTATTTCCAAAGTCACCAAGGCTGTCTCATTTTCGGCAGAGCAGATCAGCCAGCTGTCAATGGGTTCTTCCTTGTCATCCATAGCTCCCTATGAATACAAAATCGCCAAACCAGATGGTGAGGCAGGACATCCTGGCCGTGGTGGATACAACCTTGAAAAGGCCCTCAAGTGGGATGCTGGCCGCTTCAAGGCATTTAAGGTGAGACCTCATTCAATTAATGAGGTCCCCTTGAAATTGATGACATTAGGAGTGTACTCACACTTCAATCCAAAAAAATTGCGACACGAGCAAGAGCAAGATATGTTACAGACATCTGTAACACCTACAGGAGCCCCAGCTCTGCCTATGCCTGCCCCCACTCTGCTAGACTCCCCGCGCGGCGGTGCGCTGCCTGCGCCTAGAAAGACAGCGGTCTGGACCGCTATGACCCTGCCCCTGGCGCTATGACCCCGCCCCTGGCCTAGACGGCCTTGTGCCTGATCCATGGAGGCTGTACGCCTCATGGTCACCCTAGATCAGCACATGTTGATTGTTGCCGCCTCATGAAGATCTGGAGCGCTCTTGGCACTTCCTGTACCTATGCGCAGCTGCCCTTGGCGCAGCATGCTTGATCAGAGGTTAAGCCTCATGTACCTTATCTGACCTCATGTCTTGTTATCATAGATCATAGATATACTATTGATTACAGACTGAGCTAGAATACTTGTAGTACTTCCCTATAAGTAGACAGGATTATTGTACTTAGACTTTACTTTAATCTACTAGGTTCATCCCAGAACTTGCTCATCTAAGCCTACCAGCTTCCTTGTGTGAGACCGCACTTCTAAGTCACCCCCATACGACTTAGCACATATTTACTAGCCCTGTATCTCGACGAGCGCCGTCTTACCGAGATCACCGGAGGAACCCTTGACGTTCCGTCAAGCCGAGAACCACCCTCAGCTTCAGTAGGCTCACTCGAGCCATCGCTGAGAAGACCTATCCTAGTTCACACACGCCGACCGACGGTCAGCGTAACAAGATATCTCAAACTCCTGCCATGATAATTGCAGTTCAGACAGAGGTACATCTAGAACTTTTTACATCTGTTTGATACTAACTTTGTTTGCATTTGAGGTCCTCTCTAACTTTTCAGAACTCAACGACTATGATGATTGTTGGCTGATTGGAGATGTAATTCAGATGCAGCTGAAAAACATGTCTGTGAAGCAGCGACAAAAGCATACAAATACAAAATAGCAGTACACATAACAACAATAACAACGAACGCATGATGTAGCTTGTTTAGTGATAATCAATTCAAATCGGTTGCAATCGAAGAATTGGCTGCTTAATGAATTACTACAACTTGTAATATGACTCAAAGGTGTTAGATTGTCTTGTCTTATCATACAGTGATAATTATAACAATCATAATTTGTTCTAGTTGTATTCGGTTACCGCAATGCGGCTACATTAGGTGAGCTTTCTCCAGATAAAATGTGTGCCACTGAATGATTTGAATTGCAAGATGTCTCGCCTGATGTCCTATTTCTTTATGGATGATGCAAACGATGACCCGGTCACCCCAGGTGTAGAGTCTTACCCTCTCAACGAGTTTCATCCAGCAGCGACCATGCATATGTATCCCCCTGGGCCAGTTACCCCGGCTAGTTTAAATTATCGCTCATCAGCAGCATCGCCATCGCCCGCTACATCAGTAGGCGAAGAGTTCGCGATGGAATTATTGGATGATCCCTGGGAGCCTGCTCATAAGGAGAGTGATGATGATGACCAGCAGCCCTGGGAGCCTGCTTGTAAGGAGAGAGATGACGATGACCAGCGGCTCTGTGAGCCTGCTTGTAGGAAGAGAGATGACAATGACCAGTGGGTGGGTCATCAAATACTTCTTAGCTTTTCTCAACTAACAAATATTCAGCCTAATAAAATATTCCTTAAAGAGGTTGATCAGTCGTTCAGACTGCGGGATGATGTTCGCAAGTTACAGTTCTCCATGCACGATCTTTTGCTCCGAAAGCGGCAAATTCAGGTACCCCCTAAACATCTCCTGTGTTCTTACTGACTAGCTTTCAGGTCAATGCCAACTCGCGAGAATCAGATTTGCGATCTGTCATCTCGCAGTATCGAGAACACCAGGAATTCCTTGAGCATAGCAAGGCCAATGCTCTCACAATACTAAATGAAAATCATCAGAAAGAACTTGCCGAGTCCCAGGTAGGGTTCTGTTCCTGTGATATCCATGATGTTGACATCCTGACTTTCTGTGGCAGAATTAGATGGCGTTGGGTCTACATAAAGCACCACAGGAGGCGCGCACAGATATGCTATTAGCTGAAAAAGACGCTTTATTTCAGTCTGAGGCCAGAGTAGCTAAAGAGAAGTTGTTGGCCGAGAAAGAAACCGAGTTAGCCCGCCTCTCTGCCGAGTATAGCAGCAAGATAGCTTCATTGAATGTGCGTATCGACATATTCGTGTGGAGAGCTTTTGTGATATGTTTATAGAGCCAAATGCGACAAGCAAACATCACAAAGTCCCCCTCCTCCCCCACTTCATGGCGCCATCTTGTAGGCAAAAAACCTGTCGCCACATGCACGAATATTGTCGGGTTTTCGATAGTGAGTTCATATCTGTAATTTCTGTTTAATGTCTAACTACTCATACCTCAGATTCCTGATGCGAATTCAGATTCTGATGGAGACAAGGGATCTGCGCCCCCCCTGACTTCGCTATTAGCCGATATTCCGATTCAGAATGCTACCATTGGCATGCTCGTTGAGGCGCTCGCAAAGGTTCTGATTCCATCGCAGACAACATCTCCAAGAGCAGCTCGATCGAAACACAATTCCCATGAGCCCCCTACCGAGAACTTCACTGATGTCCAGCGCCGAAATAATAAAGTATGTCATTTCCTGACAAAGTGACATGGCTAATAAAATGCCAGGCCAATGTTCGGGAGCTATTTTACACGGTATTCAATCTTGCGAAAGATGATGAGTATATGCTTCATGTCACTGCATTGTGCGAAGCCATATCGTCTTTTACGTGTGGACTAGGCATGGGCCCTGACCCTCTCGAATTGCACTGGGATATGACAACCACACACAAATCTCAATGGAACCAAAAAGTAATCGATATTCTCTGTTCCCAGTATACTTGCATGTTTGAGAAGAACCAATCAGTCTCAAGATCTCGTCAATCCATCATAGATGATATCACAAAGAAGTTTCATCAATGTCACAATTCCTGGAGAAAAGCCCAGCCTCGTATGCTCAGCGATGGCGCTTGTGAAACTATGCAAGAAGTAGGAGATCGACTCGTGGATCAGACCAATGAGCGATTGCGGTGTAGGTGAGGAATGTAGAATGCTAAGAAGTGGGGTGGTATGAATATACTCAGATGGTGCTCTGTGCGCGAATCTAATGTCAGCCCAAGGGGATTGCTACTGAGAAGGTTCCTCTATATATAATAGTGGAGGGAAACACTGAACCGGGCTGTCGGATAAGCCTGGTGAGGCGCGCGACGATGAGCGAAGCACGATGAGCGGAAGTGCTATGAAGCGCTACTGAGCGACGAGTGCGATGGCGCGCGCTGAGTGTGAGCGAAGCACGCGTGCGGGTGGTGGAGCACAGCGACTCTTAAGTGAGTCAGGAGACAAGTAAGACAATGTTTGTATGTATGAGTATGAGAACTGGCGCTCGTGTCGGCTTTTTGTGCTTAGTATCGGTCGGCGAATACGACGGGGATTTTAGACTTAGCGTCCAATGTTTGTGCGGGCAGAAAGATGATCCCCATTTTACATAAAGACAAGGTATATATATATTCTAAGTAGCGTTAAGCGCTGTCAAGCGCTAAAGCGAGCCGGAAAGTGAAGCGAGTATGTGATGCTATGTAATAAGGGTCCGTGATGAAACATACAGAATATTATGCGCAAGCACCGGAGATATGTCAGAATACATGAGAATAAGATAGGAATACGCACCGACGAACCGAACGGACATGGAATGGATGGACGGAGGATGAGCGACGGAACCGAAGGTGCGTGCGCCGACACATGACCGAAGCGCCTGTGCGCGCGAGCGGCCGTCGGAGCGCCAGTGCGCAGAAATGAGATACGGGTCGCGCTGTGTTTGGGAGGTGATAAGGACATTGGAGAATTGGACCTCTACGAGGCCACAGAGATGTTAGTCTCTACAGCAGGTCACTAGGGTCTTCACTCGCAGGGCGACAGTTAGTCATCTTTCTATTACATGCCTTGAAGAATGCTAAGTTGCTTTCCAGAAGTTCGAAACTCGTAAGAAAGTCACATCGGTTCTCCTAAGTGACAGGATAGCCACTGGAAAGGACGACCAGGCGGTATGGGCATATCTACAATCTCTTGTGGAGACGCTCGGCAAAGATGGCATGAGCTCTGATGAGAGTGAGCACAAAGATGGTGAAGTTCAGGTATTTCGGCTGAAGAAGATGTCGTGGAGGGCAGACATCAACCACGATATGCATATCATTGATCAACAACAGTTGGTGGGTGCTGCTGCGAACTTCACTCCTTATGGAAGCAAACCCGCAAAGCGTTTTCGCAACGCGATCCGGGAGTCTTCTCACCCAGCAGTTGAAGGCTTACCAAGGGCGTTATACAATTCATCATGGCTGAATGACCAACCTCCTTCGTTCACAGTATCTGACAAGAAACTCCAGAGGATGGAAATTATCGTTTCCCCCCAGTGATATGAAATACGTGATGTGCCTTAGCCTTAGCCTGGATTTGTTTGATTTGTTTGACGTGTTGTACTGATAGGTTGTATCGTGTTGTAATACCTGCTCTTGTATGTGCCTTCTTTTATTCCCTGTATTCTCCCACACTGTCCTGCTATGTAACAACATTATCTGCATGGTATTTCTTATGCTCACTGAGTCTCATTCCACGGGCAGCTCGGTCCATGATTATGACAAGCGGGTGCTGATGCGATCAGCGGAGTTTTATTTTGTAGTCATCAGGCGCGTCCTTTCATCTTTCTGATTTGAATGTTAAGAAGGATACATGTTGAATATGGAGGTAATGATATGTAACTAATAAAGGGTAGCCTGATTGTGCACCCTTGCTCGGCATCATAATCCGCGAGGCACCGTCACTACTCATTTCTCATTTCTGGCTGATAGGTATCCTCAGCTATACATTTGTGTAAAATCTAGTACGTCCTTATCCTCGGATGTCAATTTGTCAATGTCTCACTCTGTTGGATATCCTCCTGGCATTCCAGCAAGGGTGCTTACTGTATGATGCATGCATTAGACCGTCACATGTGTCAGGTTCATGAACTCACCTCTCCCACAAATTAACAGAGGTTTTAGTTTCGCACTTGGAACTGTTTCGAGGGAAAATAATCCGTGTTTCATGGTGTTCCAAATGTGTTGTGCTACAGGTGAGATGACATTGTCGTTGGTGCAACACTTAATGAACATGATCAATATAGACTGTGAAACAAATTCACCGCCGTACGTCTTGTCTGTCGTTTGCTTTCGGGTTCTCTGCACCCTGGGAGTGATTCTTCGACATAATGTCGTCAACTTCACACATATTACAGTGACCTATCTCCGTATAATACAAGGGAACGGACGTGCATAATATCCCATATGATACGGGCCAGCGGACCATGGGCCCATGATAAAAATATCCTCGACTGTGACGGATGGGCCGGGAGGCAAATTATTCCCGATGGAGGTGGGTGGGCCCATGCAGGGAATATATAGAGTAGATGAGTGGGCCGATGTACATGAATATTAGGTAGACGGGTGGGCCAAGGTAGTTGGATGTTATGCAGATGGGTGTATTAAGGTAGATGTGTATGAGATAGATGGGTAGGTACTTGTTATCACATTCACGGGTGGGCCCAGACACATATTAAATTAGACGGGTGGGCCGAGGGTATTATAAAATATTGTATTAGACGGGTGGGCCCAGACACATATTAATTAGACGGGTGGGCCGAGGGTGGTATAAAATATAGATGGGTGGGCCCATGTGTATCATAATTGTAGACATGATGGAGCTGAGGTAGTTGTACATCAACCAAATCAGAGGAGGTAATAGATCAAAGTTACCAAGTTCCCGGAGCAGCAGGTGATCTCCTGACATGGCCTTTGATGGTGCACAGGTTGTCTTGCAGAATGTGGAATCCGGGGTGCGAAGCTTGTGTTGCCCTATGAGAAGCCAAGTTCCGACCACCAGAATTTGAGTCAACTGTACCGAGTTCCGAGTTCCGGGACCCGGAACTCAACACATAATTTAGTTAATACTTTCCGTGTTAAATGGCCAACCGAAGTTGAGATGTTTCTGAAGAGAGCAGCAGGTGCTCTCTTGACATGGCCTTTGATGGTGCGTAGGTTGTCTTGCAGAATGTGGAATCCGGGGTGCGAAGCTTGTGTTGCCCTATGAGAAGCCAAGTTCCGACCACCAAAATGTGAGTCAACCGTACTCAGAGGAGGTAATAAATCAAAGTTACCGAGTTCCTGGAGCAGCAGGTGATCTCCTGACATGGCGGTGCGAAGCTTGTGTTGCCCTACGAGACGCCAAGTTCCGACCACCCAAATTTGGGTCAACCGTACCGACTTCCGAGTTCCGGGACCCTGGGAGTCGACAAATGAATATCTGATGACCAGCACACTTCCAATCAGGTAGTATTTCATTGAGCAATGGATAATAATACATCTTTGACAGCCAAAATTATCCCAGGCTCCCTTATCTGATCCTCTCTATCTCCACCCCCTTTAACACCAAAGTCCGGACATCCAGCATTCAGCAGTCTGATTTCCCAAGATTAACATCCAGCATGAACGGTTCTTCCCCTTCCACTCCTGATAGCATAAACATCTGGCGCACTTGGGCCCTGACTGTGACTTATGAAGCAGGGGAATATACCGAACAGAAATTCAAGGCAGAGAAGACTGGAGGAGGCCCAGTCATACCTTCCCCCAACCTAGACACTGATCTGGTGATGGTGTGCATCGCTTGGCTGATGTACTCATAAAGGCATATAAAAATCCCAGTGGGTCTTCTTGCAGATTCGGAAAATTCGTTTTATCATTCAAATTCCTGCATGACAGTTCAGATGCAGATGGATATTGCAAGATATAGCAAATTGATCTCCCCGAAGGACACCGGGCATAATGAACAAAGAGAGGCGAGGTTGCTTGAGAGGTGTCCTCCTGGCCATGAAGGCAAAAGGTTGGTCGACGAACCTGCCACAATTCTCGATGCATCCGGTGCCATCATCGCATGGTACCTCCCAGACGCCCTGACCGACACCACCCAGGTGTGTAATATACATTGTTACTCAATGGATATTGAATATCAAATGGAACCTACAGAAGGAAATCAGGGAGGCCACCGATTTGCTCGCTCCAAGCCTCGAAAAAAGTGTAAGGGCTGATGGCATTTGGCGAACTAATCAAAAGTGGTTCAAACGGGGCTCGGACGATGTTGGCGCAACTCCCGGATGTATCAATTTATCTCCGGCATGGTTTCAACAGGGACACGAGGTAGGATCCCATGAGATGGTGATTCCGGCAGTCATACTCACCAATCCCAAAGACTATGTCCGATCCGGAGGTATCTGCATCATTGAAGGGACCTTCCTGCGAGAATATCCTGAAAGCCATTGCAAGGCCAGCAGCCATCGCGTCCGCGGCACTCAGGGTCATGCATCCTGAGCAGTACTGGGCAGGGTTGCGAACCTTGTCCAACCTCGGACATATAGCAGTAAGCAAGGATCTGCCACAGATGCCGGAGGCCCTGCAGTACTGGGCATCCGTGTTTAACACCCTCTCTATCATTTCCAATCGGGAAACCCCCAATCATCGAGACCATTTGTCTATTGCTGAATGCTTCGACATTCTCACCACCGTGGGGAACTATTCTGATGCTCGGATGACAATGCCAAGCCTTCAGCTGGAGTTCAAGTACAATTCCGGCTGTATGATTGCGTTTTCCGGAAGGATTGTGAGACATGGAGTTTATGATGTGGAAGGGGATCGGATTGCTTGGGCATGGTATATGAGGGATTCTGTTCACATTTACGCTGGTGTTCCATCATGTGGATGGGCTAGTGTGGATGGTCCATACAGCGTGTGAAAGATCAAACAAAGAGCAAGCATTGTGACCTATATACATTCCAACAAATGAATACCATGTACCAATAGTTATCCGGACCTCAATACTCAATTTTGAGCATTTGCGAAGTGATATATGGGACTGAATAATTTGGATGCCAGCCTCGGTATTCGATAATTGGAACTCGGGACTTGACATATGGGAGTCCCGAGTGCCGGGGTACTGAGTCCCGAAACCCGGAACTCCTCACTTGATATTTGAGACTGGGAGAAGATGTATAAATATGCTCGAATTAACATTTGTAATTGCCGTACACATTTGACAGAACCCTGAACCACGACATTGTGGACTCGGGACTCGACACTGTTCTGAATACCGAGTCCCGGAAGCCCAGGTCCCGAGTCCCAAATTTCGGAGTTCGGGGTTTGGCGACCCAGAGCTCGGCAACTGTGTTGGGTGTCAGGGTATCGGGAGCATTGGAGATCGCATGTGTCAGTATTTTGAGTTTCATGGTTCATGTTTGCTGATTATGGAATCGGGTGTCAGGGACTCGGTATTCAGAAGTGTCGAGTCCCAAGTCACGAGCTCCGAGTCCCGAGTCCCGAAACAGTCCCGAGTCCCGCACAATGGGTTTCGGGACTCGGGACTCAGAGCTCGTGACTTGGGACTCGACACTTCTGAATACCGAGTCCCTGACACCCGATTCCATAATCAGCAAACATGAACCATGAAACTCAAAATACTGACACATGCGATCTCCAATGCTCCCGATACCCTGACACCCAACACAGTTGCCGAGCTCTGGGTCGCCGAACCCCGAACTCCAAAATTCGGGACTCGGGACCCGGGCTTCTGGGACTCGGGACTCGGAGCTCGTGACCTGGGACTCCACACTGTTCTGAATACCGAGTCCCTGATGCCCGATTCCATAATCACCAAACATGAACCATGAAACGCAAAATACTGACAAATGCGATTTCCAATGCTCCCGATACCCTGACACCCAACACAGTTGCCGAGCTCCGGGTCGCCAAACCCCGAACTCCGAAATTCGGGACTCGGGACCCGGGCTTCCGGGACTCGGATGCGTGATTTTTGAATGCATAGAATATTTTACATCTTGTATACAATGAAGACTGAATGGGACTACACTCCTTTGCCTTTCCTCAATTTCTCTAACATGTCAGTGTACATCTTCACCTCTGCCATCTTGGCTTTGATGCCATGATCTTGCTCCTCCATCAATGCTTCCATGTGTTCTTTAATCCACCTCAGTCCCATAAGTGGTGGAGTCGAAGTGTTTTTCAACTTCTCTGGAAGAACCAAAGCATCATCCTCAACATTAAGCTAGAACAGATAAGTCATCAATCAAGGCAATTCAGCTAACATCTTACCGCCCAATACTGGTAGTGAGAGACGCAGGAAGCCATTATTTCATCCCACTGCCATGGTTGATCCGGGATTGTGGTGTTTCCCATCCACCATGGACATGTATATTTGAACACAATCCGGGACGGATGTCCTGCAATTGCCTCATCATCAAATGCAAGGAGGTGGAATGAAAAGATGTCGTCCGGAACTGTGTTCCAGGTTAGCATGGGATACAACTTAAGGATATAAGCGACAGGGACCGGAAGAACCGACACGATATTCTGTGAAGCGGAGTACTGCAGGAGTGGTGTGACAAAAGTCTGCTCAAATTCTTAGCATTGACCAACAAAGTCATCAGGGCAGTGGTAACATACATTCATCTCCCATTGCAGCCCGGCTTTAAAATACTTGATCCGGTCAGAAGATAGACCATTGTTGGCAGCTTCCGTCCGATATTGAGAGATGCATGCACGGACCCGCGATCCAGCCATTGCCAATGTGCAGGAAATAGTTGCAAGGCTCAGCTTCAGGGGTCGGTAATGGCTTCCGGCATTCAGAGTGCCAGAAGTGGATGCAGGAGTTGCAGGCATGGCTAATACAGGACTATGGCGCTGGCAATGCAAGTGAAAGATGGTGAAGATGTGAAGATAAGAATCACTGATGGATGGATACGAAATTCAAACTCCGACATGGGCTGACCCGGACAATTCCCGGGCCTCAATTATGTATGTGGAAAAAGGGACTTCATGAGAAAACAATGTTCATTCATCTCCAGCCTCTATCAACACATTTTGTAGGTCTTGAAAAGCTGCCTGCGCATCCTGTGCGAGCAATGAATACATTTGGGATTGCCTTCCGGCGTAGCATCCGTGACCCGGAAGGCGTTTCTCCAATGATTCCTGCATGTGGTCGCCCCATTGGGTTGCTTTCCACAAAAAGAAGTTACATGTCCAATCCATCTCCAATTTGACCAATATCATTTCTTCCCTCCATCGATCTCATAGTGCCTTTGCCCTGAGCCAATGGACTCGGTAAACTTGGCATGGGTCCAGTCAGGTAACCGCGGGATATGACATGCAAGCAGGAACTCACATTCCTCATTCCACGATTGATCAGGACCCCCGAGGTCGACTTCAACAGACCAAAACCAAGCCAAAGATTCATTTCGTTGACCTCAGGCATTTGGGTCACCCACTGCAGTGCTAATTTTGAGTTGCTCGCGAAGCAGGGGTTTGTATTTCTGAAGCTGGTCTTGCCCCGGCTCAAGTTTCATCATTTGCTTCCTGGTCTTTGTATATATGCTGGCATGGAGGGAGACTGCCTGCTGCACCGACATCACCTGGGACCAAGCTCGAGTTTTCAGGGCCTGGGATTTGGCCTGCCTAACGGTTGTTCGGAACAGGATGGCCTTGTTGCAAAGGTAAATGCGGAGATTGTGAAGGGCATCATTGGCCTGCCCTTCACGAAGCGACATCTCCAGGGGAATCAGATCCTCTGCCATGCATCGTCTGCATCTATCAACCCCCAGGTTTGATGGCAACGGGATTACAGTGAGCTCGGGAGAGTTTGTCCATGTATGAGATGTCTCTGTGAAATCCGCCGGGTCATCATCGAGATCATCTAGAATGTCTACATTCAAGTCCTCAGGTTCATCATCTGCATCAAATCCCTCCCCGAGATGTGTTAGAGCAGACTGAGCAAATCCATCTGTCTGGCCTTGGAGCCGATTGCATTGACGGGCGATGTCTAATCTCTGTGTCTCGGTGGATCTTCTTCCGATCCTTTGGACCTTGATGAGCAATGCAATCTGAGCCTCTTCAATTGCTAACCCTGTTGATATCCACGTCGCCACAGATCTGCAAGAGGGTGCTGCATTGCGGGCGTTACCCTCCTCTAATAATCTAAGCTCAATCTCCTTTTTGCTAGGTGCTGAGTGCAATATTAATTCAGACCTCGTGTTACAGTAACATGGCATGAGTCCCCTGCCAGCAGAACAGCCCTCTGCCACCGCACGGCTATAGACGATACCGGAGTCTCACCAGCTCTATGACGATAGATGACGATAGATGATGATAGACGATAAGCGGCAACTGCCGGCTTAGATAAGCGGTCTGGACCGCACGTGATGACACATGACGACATAGGTCTAGAAGACCTATTTATGTTATCAAGATAGAAGGCAAGCCTCGTGCTGCCTCATGTACTGATAGAAGGATGCCTCATGGATCCTATCTACGATAGAAGCCCGCCTCATGGACGCTATCTCTGACTCATGTAGATAAGCAGATTAGAACCCAGCTTTAGGCTGAGCTTAGATACGAAGAGTAGCCTTATATAAGGTCGAAGATTAACAGTAGACGTTCCTTACTTTAATCTTACTAGGTTTACCCTTGAACTCCTTGTCCCGCTAAAGCTACCTGCTCGACATCGACTCGTACCTTCAGTGACGCCTCTCACTGTCTGTAAACCCTGCTATCATCTCAGCGTAAACCCTCGTTAACCACCACGAGCTACGTTCGAGTACGCAACCTTTGCTTGTCTGTAAAGGCCGACGACTCTCAGCACTCGGTACCACTGTCGTGGTTGTCGCTGTTTAGATCATCCTAGTCGCACACGACCGTTTGTCGTAACACCTCGATGGAGACAATGGAACTCAACGTACCCTTTTTTATATTGATCTCATATTCATCCATCGCCGAAGGATCATTCAATCTGCTTGACTGAGCTATCCTCTCCCTGGCTAACCATTCTGTCTTCAAATGTGAGGGTGCTGCTTCATCAAGTCTGTCAAATGCCTTTCCACTTTCCGAGATGCCATTCCTTGCCAGCTTGTATTTCCGGCATAGAGTCCTTTTCATGTGAATCATCTTGCAGAAATTGGAGTCATTCATCTGATAATCAAGGCATTCCTTTCGGTGGGGAGATGACATTCCCTGAGCAGCAGGGGAGATCAGATTGAGCCATGCCCATAGCGTCTCCATGATCTCTCCATCGATCCGACCAATGCCTTCAATAAAGTTAGAAGCATATCTCACATAGCAGCTGTCCTGATGGCCATGAACGTGCCACAACCCAATTCCGGGAATGATGGTTAGTTGTGGTGCCATTTCTAGAAATCGACTTCGATCCACCCGAACCCGAAAGTGTTTGTTGTATTGACAATTAATATCATAGAAGGTGACAGCCCTGGTGATGCCTTTCATGTTGTGCCGGGAAGCCTCGCAAAGGGCGTAGTCCATGTTCATTTGTCTGCAAGTGACCCATGGTTAACTCGTGAATGCTTAATGGTGGATGTGGCTTGCCTTTCGCCTTTCTGAAAATCCACCATGGAGTGAGGGACAAGCAACCGTG